TCAAATTCTCATATTTGATTTAATTATCCAAATAACACTAAAATAAACAATTAACAATGCTTGGACTCGATGATATGTATCAACATTTCTCATGTATTTTTGTCCAGACGTCATCTAATTAACTATTGAGATGACCTCTGAAAACTGCTGACGTTCATATAATCTGATATAAACATAAATATAAATATAAACAGATAGCGACCATGTACAATTGGATTTTACTAGGTCTGTTTGGTTTCATATTGTAGGTTAATAAGTATGCTTATCAACCGTTTTCACCTGTATAAGAATGATTTTTTTGTGGATAGAATTAGTCAACCAAATGCATGGTTCGTCCTTGTTTCACTTTCCATGTTGACATTCTTTTAATAGCTTTTTCTCCAGTTAAGGGGATCAAATTTAAGGTCATATATGAATAGGGATTCTCCGATGTCAAATTATTCACTTGCAAGTGAATAATTAATCAGCAACAATTTTTGGCTTATTTTGACGAATTTGAACCAAATTGGCTATTAAAATCATAATGCAACTTTATTAAAATAGCAATAAAATTGGGAATAAACAGATACATTTCATTGTCCAATATGCTCATGTTAAGAGTTATGCAAATTTGTAAATTGTTTCAATAAATCACTGATAATTGTAACTTAAGTTATCGACTAATTTCAGATGATTATTATACAGATTTTATTTTTTGTCTGTCTTTAAAAGAAAATACATCTTGTAAATTCTTAATCTTTGACACATAATTTACAGTGTACTGTTATGTAGTGTAGATTAAAAGTTCTTATAGATAATTAAAATCAATATTTCTATATATCTACCTACTATTGAGGTCAAGAATTGTGTACTAAGTTGAGTTATAAAGAGTCTGTTCAATTATGTGGTTCAAAAATTAGGTATAAACTGTAGTCAATTAAAATTGGTTATTTTACAACCTATCAAGGACCACAACTCAGGAACATTAAAAGTGAAAACGTCAATATTGACCTTGACCTCCATTTTGTAGTCACTAACAACATAATTACATTTGAAAGCATTGGTTGAACTGTTCATATTAAAGTTATGGCATGGAAACAACATAAAATGTAATTTTTTAATGTCAAGGACAATAACTCCTGAACAGTAAAGGTAAAAATTATCAATATCGAAACTGACCTCAATTTTGTCATCAGTAACACCATATAAACATTTGAAAAGCATTGGTTGAACGGTCAATCTTTGACACATAATTTACAGTGTACTGTTATGTAGTGTAGATTAAAAGTTCTTATAGATAATTAAAATCAACATTTCTATATATTTACCTACTATTGAGGTCAAGAATTGTGTACTAAGTTGAGTTATAAAGTGTCTGTTCAATTATGTGGTTCAAAAATTAGGTATAAACTGTAGTCAATTAAAATTGGTTATTTTACAACCTATCAAGGACCACAACTCAGGAACATTAAAAGTGAAAATGTCAATATTGACCTTGACCTCCATTTTTTAGTCACTAACAACACAATTATATTTGAAAGCATTGGTTTAACTGTTCATATTAAAGTTATGGCATGGAAACAACATAAAATGTAATTTTTTAATGTCAAGGACAATAACTCCTGAACAATAAAGATAAAAATAATAAATATCGAAACTGACCTCAATTTTGTCATCAGTAACACCATATAAACATTTGAAAAGCATTGGTTGAACGGTTAATAAGTTATTGCATAGAACTGTTGGCAGCCACCTGACCACTGTACTCCCTTAAAAAAAAATAACTGGATTTTTCCTTTAAAGGAAGTCTTTAAGATAATAATATTGAGGTATAAAATAGAAGAAGGCTGAGTCTACAGCTGAAAATGCAGTAGTAACCACCTTTCTGCACAAATTTTAGTCTGTTAAGTTACTAGGACTTTGACGTTTTAAAAGCCGACCTCAAAATTAAAAGAAAATCAAGGTGTTCTAGATAATAAAATTGAGAATGGAAATGGGAATGTGTCAAAGAGACAAAAACCTGACCATAGAGCAGAAAACAGCCGAAGTCCACAAGGAATTGTTCTACTACAGGATATAACTAAGGTCTACAACAAAAGAAGGATGAGGTCTATAAGACATCAAGACTGAGTTTACAACAAATCTACAGAGCATGACTCAAGTCCATATAATAAATTTGAGGCTTGCAGCAGATTAAGACGAGGGTCTGCAACACACAAAATCATGTCCAAGGCTACAGTAAAAAAATAAAAAATAATGTGTCTGAGGACATGAATGCCCCTGGTCTCATAACATTTGCATGAGGCAGACTTAAGTTAGAGTGCAGAAAGGAAATTGGGACAGATGGAAAGACAAAAAGTCAAGGATTACACTTAATGCCCCCCGTCACCTACAGCGGGGGCATAAAAATCACGCCATATTATCAAATCAAAATTTGTTTGGTAAAATAGAGAATGGAAATGGGGAATGTTTCAAAGAGAACAACCAGACCAAAGAGTAAAATAACAACCGAAGGACACCAATGGGTCTTCAATACAGCGAGAAAATCCCGCACCTGGAGGCGGACTTCAGCTGGCCCCTAAACAAAAATGTGTACTAGTTCAGTGAAAATTGACGTCATACTAAACTCCTAAACATATAAATGAACTAAAATTAAAAAAACATACAAGACTAACAAAGGCCAGACGCTCCTGACTTGAGACAGGCGCAAAAATGCGGCAGGATTAAACATGTTTAGTGAGATCTCAACCCTCCCCCTATACCTCTAGCTAATATAGATTAAACAAACACACAGCAATACACACAGTAAAACTAGATAAAGAAGTCAGAGTCCGATGTCAGAATAGGTAAGAAAAGAAACTAAGCAAAATGAAAATGATACATAAATTAACAAAGGACTACTAGCAGTTACTGACATGCCAGCTCCAGACCTCAATTAAACTGATTGAAAGATTATATCTTCATCATATGAAAATCAAGCACAATCTTTGCTTTGGGTTCTTCTTTCTAATACAAAACAAAGAATTTTATTCCTATTTTTTTAATTTAAGAAAAAAATAATGACAACATATAGAAATCCTCTTGAAAAGTATAACATGCTGTTTAAAGTACTGACATGTCATAGATAGCACTTAATTCTTCTTTACTATGTTCATTTTAAACAACCAATATAAAATTAAGGCTAATATTAATATTTTTTTTACAAAAAAAAAACAATGACAAGAAGACATTTTGGGACCAAAAAAGGTTCCATTTTGAAATATGTCTACAAACTGGTTATATCATGAGTACAAAGGATATACTTAAATACTTTAAAGTGGCAGAAATATAAATAAATAATCCCTTTGACCAAGAATTTTCATGAAATTGAGAGAAATAGAATACCTGTACTTGGCATATGTTTCCAAAAATATTCGCACCAAAAATTTGTCAAATCATAGTCTATTTTATATAAAGATTTCATTTTTAGTATATTTCACATAATAGCAATTATGTCAAATTATTAGAAAGAAAAATACCAAGTAACTTCTTTTGCTTTCAGTTAATTATTCAATATACAAAAATGCATGGATGTTAAAGAAGAAATGTATAGGGTCAAATGCACACCAAACTATTGCCTTTTCTTAAATAACTTGGCTTAACAATGAATATATGATAATGTTATGCAGTTGCAGAGAATAAATAATTTTGTTGTTCTGTTCACAAAAATCTTTTTTTTTTAAGATGGTAACATAACACTACAGGGAGATAACTCTGTAAAAATCAGCTGAATGTTTTATTCATGGTCTATTGTTAAGAAAAATATAGCTTCTAAATGATCGAAATTAGTGTCTGTCAAACTGCTATATATCCAATGAAATTTTTCCAATAAGGTGTGTGGTTCAAGTTTTTTGAAATTTTTATATTTTTGTCAAAGGGTCAAAGTAAATAATTTGTCAAAATTTTATGAAAATTAAATGCCAATTTAGTTTTAGTCAAGGTGTTGGGTGCCACCTTAAAGATTTCAAAAAAGCAAGTACCAATCTTGTGTTTTATTTCAAATGCTTCTACTTCACAATTTTTGACTGGAAAACCAACAACTTATGTTGCCAAATCACATACTCCAATATCAAACAGTTATTCCTTCAAAGTCCAAGGTAAAGCTCTGATAATTCGATAAATAGACAATAGTAGCTATCAAAACTGCATGTAAAAATATAGTATAAATACAGCTAATTTCAAAGAACCAAATAATACACTGTCGATTCATTTATTTTTGTGGATACCAATTTTCATCGATTGAGGAAAAAGTGTATCTTTGTGGATATTAGGTTTTGCGATTTTGCAAAATTCTCCATTTAAGCCTACAGAAACTTTGACTTTTGTTGAATACTTAAATTCATGGTTTTACCTATACCCAAAAAAACGTGAAAATTTGTATTCCACAAATAATAATAACTCCACAGTATGGTAAAAAAGGTATATGTTATTTAATGCATTATGTCTATAAATAGTAAACAACAGATCTTTATATTAATTTGAGATTGTCATTCAAAAAGTTATTTAAATTGTACAATAGAAACATGAATAATGATATTAAGTGTAGAAAATGAAAACATTGTTCATTGTCCAAGGTTAGTGGAGGTGGGCTGAGTGCTCACAAACATGTTTAACCCCACCACATTCTTGATGTCCCTGTCCCAAGTCAGGAGCCTGTAGTTAAGTGGTTATTCTTGGTTTATGTCGCTCGTATTTGTATTTTTGTAATTTGTTTTGTTATAAATTAGGCCGTTAGTTTTCTCAACTGAATTGTTTCATATTTTTCATGTCAGGGCCTTTTATAGCAGACTATAGGTATGGGTTTTTCTCATTGTTGAAGGCTGTACCATTGCCTGTAATTGCTTACATTCACATTATTTGAACTTTGATGGATAGTTGTCTCATTGGCAATCATACCACATCTCCTTATTTTTATATTCGTGTAAGAAGCCTTTCTTTCTCATTTGAATTTTCCTTATAGAAGAGATTATGTAAATAAAGATAATTGGAGCACTTATCATGACTGGAACTAATAGATCAATGTAGTAGCCCCAGTTCATGATAACATGAAAAATTTGCTTCTAAGATTACGTTTTGTAATAAAGTTATCTTTTCTTTGAAACAAATAAATACACTGAAGGTTGACCTCTCAGCTTCTATTGAGGTAATTAAATCTCCCAAAATGAATTTAAAACTTGATATTAATAAGACAGTATAAAAAAATATTTCACATTCAAAAGAATAACATTGCTAGCTATGTATCTTAACATCATGGTTAACTTAACATTGTTTTAACCTCTGTGAAGCTAAATTGGTGTTTGTCAGTTTTTTTTTTTGGTGTGAAGGTCGGTTGTCATGACTCCGTTTTCTAAAGTTATGGTGGTGTCAAGAAACGTCTGAAGTTTCAAATAAAAAAATTACGTTTCTTGACACCTGTAATTCAAGACATCGTATAAATCTAATGTTTTTTTTAGAGTCATCATAGATCTCTGATGTTGAAAATTAAAGCAGCACTTCTCTGATGTAAAGGCTCCTGTCCTGTCAAGTGCTTTTATAAAGACTTTTACAATCTGTATTTCACATCACAAAAAATGCAAATTATAAATAAATTTTGCTTGACAATAAAAGCATATCAAAATGTAAAGCAGTAAGGTATAATTGGTTGCTTTTGTCTGATGTTCCAAATATTTACAAAGTACAAACATGTAATGTTCTATTATGCTATTAATGCATGTGCAGAATCTGTACTAATCAAAATAGTGATTTAACAATGCAATTATATTATGAATCTGTTTCTTCAATGACCTGGTACCTGGTTCACTTTTATTGGTGTTCACTTGTATGTAGACAAGAACTGTTCATGGAAAATCCTAAATCTTTCCAACATTTCTTTTAACTTTTCTACAGGAGGTAAGATAGTGGTCCTAGAAAAATTAATTTAAGAAAACAAATAAAAAATCTTTAGACCCTTAAGTATTTTACAGGCATTATTTAAAAAAAACGTTTTTTGCACACAAATTTGTTGATTTAAATCAATCAGATGCTAAAGAAACAAAATCCCTTTATTACGAAATCCTTTTTTTACAAATGTCTTGACAACCGTTCCTTCATAATGATAGAAAGCTTCATTTTTTCGCTACGCTGAAGATCCATTTGTCCCTTTGAGCTGTTTTTTGCTCTTTGGTCGGGTTGTTGTCTCTTTGACACATTCCCCATTTCCATTCTCAATTCTATTCAAGATACTGAAAAGCAATCGATTTTAGTGGATACTTTATTTCATGTTTAGACCTTTCTAGCCGACTTAAGCTTCATGATGATTTATTTTTTTTTTGTGAATTTATAACCTAACATGTAGCTTCTGACCTCACTTTCCAGTGACTATCTGTGATTTTATTTAGCTGAATACCTTGAAAAACAAATGACAAAATATTTCAATATAAAATTTTATATATTTCCTTAGTACTCTATTGCAGACTTAGAAATGAAACTAGATCTAAAACTCTAAATTTCTATTTGGCACTTATTTTATAAAAGATTAAATTTGTGCAAAATGAATTACTTATTTAATACATATTACATTTTTTATTATTAGTTTACCTAAAATGGTATGTCCCAGGTCTCTGACCAAATCCTGATCCAGGGACAACACATATACCTGTCTTCTCTAACAATTCAAAACAATACATCACATCAGCTGGTACACCTCGTTTCTGAAAACAGAAAGTCAAAACAATATATCACATCAGCTGGTACACGTCGACTCTGAAAACAGAAAATAATAAACAGCTGCGCCATGAGCGCATGATACGCCCGTCGTCTTGTGTGTGAATTTTTATGCAATAAGCATAAATAGTTTCTAACATACGGCGTCACATGCAAAAACCCCCTTTTTTTTTTACAAAAAAACAATATCTCTGAAATAAAATTTTGAATCAAAACCAAAAAGTATACAGATCTTTAGATTAATATAACTAAGAAGTGTGTAAAATTTTAAGCAATAATCATAAATCGTTTTGAGTTACGGCGCGACATGTGAAAATCCCCCTTTTAAAAAAAAAACAATCAATATCAAAAATAAAATTTTGAATCAAAACCAAAAAGTATACAGATCTTTAGATTAATATAACTAAGAAGTGTGTAAAATTTTAAGCAATAATCATAAATCGTTTTTGAGATACGGTGTGACATGTGAAAAACCCCTCCCCCTTTTTTTACAAAATACTCAATAACTCAAAAATAAGATTTTGAATCATCACCAAAAAGTATACAGATCTTAAGATTAATATAACTAAGAAGAGTGTAAAGTTTTAAGCAATAATCATAAACTGCTTTTGAGATACAGTGCGACATGTGAAAAAAAACACATACCTGTTTTAGTTACTAAGTCCCGTAACTCAAAAAGTTTTAATCTTATTTTCACCAAAAAGTATACAGATCGTTTGACCATCATAAGAAATAACTATGTTAAGTTTCATGAAATTTGGATAAGTCATTCTCAAGTTACGGTGCGACATGTTTACGCCGGACAGACAGACGGACGGACACCAGACATTTGTATACCATAATACGTCCCGTCAAAAATTGACGGGCGTATAAAAACAATACATCACATCAGCTGGAGTCCATCTCTGAAAACAGAAAGATAAGACAATACATCACATTAGCTGATACACCTCGTCTCTGAAAACAGAAAGTTTTAAAACAATACATCACATCAGCTGGAGTCCATCTCTGAAAACAGAAAGATAAGACAATACATCACATCAGCTGGACCCTGTCTCTGAAAACAGAAAGATAAAACAATACATCACATAAGCTGATACACCTAGTCTCTGAAAACAGAAAGTCTAAATGTAATATATCACATCAGTTGGTACACATTGTCTCTGAAAACAGAAAGTCTAGATGTAATATATCACATCAGCTGGTACACCTTGTCTCTGAAAACAGAAAGTCTAGATGCAATATATCACATCAGCTGGTACACCTTGTCTCTAAAAACAGAAAGTCTAAATGCAATATATCACATCAGTTGGTACACCTCGTCTCTGAAAACAGAAAGTCTAAATGCAATATATCACATCAGCTGGTACACCTCATCTCTGAAAACAAAGTCATACAGTACACCAGTTGGTACACCTCGTCTCTGAAAACAGAAAGTCTTAATGCAATATATCACATCAGTTGTACCATGTCTCTGAAAACAGAAAGTCTAAATGCAATAAATCACATCAGTTGGTACACCTCGTCTTTGAAAACAGAAAGTCTAAATGCAATATATCACATCAGCTGGTACACCTTGTCTCTGAAAACAGAAAGTCTAAATGCAATATATCACATCAGTTGGTAAACCTGGTCTCTGAAAACAGAAAGTCTAAATGCAATAAATCACATCAGTTGGTACACCTCGTCTTTGAAAACAGAAAGTCCAAATGCAATATATCACATCAGTTGGTAAACCTGGTCTCTGAAAACAGAAAGTCTAAATGCAATAAATCACATCAGTTGGTACACCTCGTCTTTGAAAACAGAAAGTCTAAATGCAATATATCACATCAGCTGGTACACCTTGTCTCTAAAAACAGAAAGTCTAAATGCAATATATCACATCAGTTGTACCATGTCTCTGAAAACAGAAAGTCCAAATGCAATATATCACATCAGCTGGTACACCTCATCTCTAAAAGCAGAAAGTCTAAATGCAATATATCACATCAGTTGGTAAACCTTGTCTCAAAAAAACCAGAAAGTTTTAATATAATAAATCTCATCAGCTGGAACACCTCATCTCTGAAAACAAAGTCAAAACGGTACACCAGTTGGTACACCTCATCTCTGAAAACAGAAAGTCTTAATGCAATATATCACATCAGTTGTACCACGTCTCTGAAAACAGAAAGTCCAAATGCAGTATATCACATCAGCTGGTACACCTCATCTCTGAAAATAGAAAATTTTAATACAATATATCAGTTTGAATATCTCATCTATGAAAACAGAGACTAAAATAACTACATTACATATACTTCCAACAATCAAAATGTTAAATAGAAACTAAACATTGTTTACGTGTTAGTAAAGTTAAAGAGCGGAAAAGGCAAATTCTGCAACTTTTTCATTTGTTCAATCTGTTTTTGGTGGTAATTAGTATTGAGTACAAGTTTTATATGATTTGGTTGAAGGAAACTAAAGTCAGGAGAATGGAAACTAATTTCTGGATGTAAATACAGACAAGGATAAACCTTAAGGTTCTAGGCAACGGGGGCATAAAATTACCTGACTACTGGAACATGAAATGAATCTGTCACTTAGCATGAAAATTATGTTTTGTCAGGACCAATAATAGTTGTATTAAAACTTATATAAAATTATTGATTCATCAACTCCTACATCTTTATTGATGACAAGAAAACAAAAGCAACAAAAGTGAACACCACAAAAGTATGCGCAATATCTGAAAAAGAAGAGTCCTTGGCCATGACACAATTGGCAGGTTTAGTGCTGTGAATTTAAAATACAATGTTGTTATGAATGGATTGATTTTGTAATTCATTATATATCAGTTGCTTAGTTGATTGGTATTTCACATCACCTCTGTTTTTTTCTCATTACATTTATGAGGTAGTTAATCTGTTAATTGATTTTGCTGTTTGATGTTGAAATGTTGGTGAAAATTTTTTTCTCAATTATCTGAGTTTAATAGAACCTTTATTTTTATGTCTGTATTCATATTCATCCATGAAAATTAATACAGCTCATAAGATAAATTTTCATCCAGTAATTAGACAGTTTACTTTTCAAATAATGGTATACAAATAAACTAATGCCATATATCAATGTGTGTACAGCATGTACATGTATAGTGTATAAAAATGCATTCATAACATTCTCTACATCATAAAAATAGAATGCATTTTGGAGATTGATTGATTGATTGTTGGTGTTTTAACGCCACTTTTAAGCGCCACTTCTGGGCTATTTCGTGGCGGCCAGTTTTTATAAGTGGAGGAAGCCGGAGTGCCCGGATAAAACCACGACCTTCGAAAGGAAAACTGACAATCCTAGTCAATTAAGATTGGAGTCGAGTGCACCCGCACAAGCAGGGTTCGAACTCACAACCTCAGTGTTGACTGGCTAGTGATTACAGTAGTAGAACTACTTAGGCCACTTGGCCACCGAGACCCTGCATTTTGGAGAAAAGACATTCATATGTATTTCCAATGGTTTTTTAAGGGCATACGATACAGTTTCAGGGAAGGTTATGACGTTGCCAACGTAAAATGTTATTTTTCGCGACGTCAAACGGCGACATATCGGGGAAAGATGCATTTTTCGACTTATTTTTATCATTCAGACTGATATAACTTGAAAACGAGTTCATGGTCCCCTCTTTCTTAAAATGAGATTAGGATTGATTACGTGTGAAGATTATTTGTACCAATTTTTATGAAAAAGTCACAGATGAGATTTTTTAAAATTAGATAAGTATACAGCAAAAAATTCCGTTTTTTTTCCTAAAATCCTGACTCTTTGATAAAAACTAATTATTTCCAAAGAATTGTTATAAAAATTCAGAGCATACTTATGTAAAAGAGATTTTCCAAATGTTTTTATGAAAATCCTATTGTGTTTATCTTTTGAAACAATAAAATTAGGTTTGTCTATCCAAAGGTTAGAAATGTTCCAAAAGACATTTACTCAAAATTTCGACCCCATTTATCTCTTAAAGTAGCACATGAAGGTATATTTTTTATTACATATTTGCATTGACTAGGTGAAAAATAGCTTGTATGCAAATTTTCATAAAAAAATCACTGTGGGATCAAAACTGTTACGTATGCCCTTAACTTCTGAAAACATGTAGTATTTTGGAAATGTATAAACTGCATGAAATACAATACCTAGAACAAGATATTTACCTTGGCTTCTTCTAAAGCAGCTGGAGGCATATTAATTTGTGGAAAGGCATACATAGCACCTTGTACAACATTACAGGACATTCTGTCCATTGAATTAAATGTCTCCGTCACCATTTTGGCCTTTTCCTTTAGATCTCCTAATACTTGTTCTTTTTCCTTTTACAAAAAAATTGTAAGCATATTCAAATTATGGGCAATATTAAAAATAAAGTCTCCATGAAACTGGTAACATTAATTTTATCTAAGTAAACAAATATCCTTTGATAAACTTGTCTTTTTTGTCTTGACTGTGTTGTTGAGTTGTCTCACTACTGCATATACAAAATCTCTAATTTTTCATCAGTTTTTGCACATAAGGCTATTTTAGCAAAAAGTTCTTATTGAATCAATAACAAATTTAGTTTTACATTGTTTTTGAGGTGATTGTGGTATACCTCAAACCTAATGAATGGGGGTAAACAGATGAATGATGAATTTAAAGCAATATCATTAATAATCAGGGGATATTTGTTTGAATTGGAATCACAGGCAGTGTTCTCCCCAGGCCGTTTTAGCGTCGCGGCACCAAGACGCTATATTTTTTTCCCGTGATGCTATAATAATTTCCGAGACACTATAATTATTTTGAGGATGCTATTTTTCTTGTCTCTATTTCGCAAAACCATGTCCTAAATTTTGAACTTCCAATAATTACCGCTTGTGATCATAAAAATTATATCACCTTTAATTGTAGTCCCTTCAAGTCGGACAATAGAGGCAATTTAGAGTGATTAAATAGGTGTTAATTGCCCTTTGGGTGATAACTGAATGGATACGAATACCCCAAGCTGACACTTGTGACATGACTAATACCACGTGGTCCAATCGCAAATTTCGACATGGAGAAAATGTAATCAGAAAATCCGAAAAACAATTCGAAATCTACGTTTGCATAATAAAAATTCAAAGATACAAACGATTTCTCTCTTTAGAAAAAGAGGTTAGGTCGTATATTTTAAAAAATTACTTTCTTTCATTTCTGGTACTGCTATAGTTAATCAAGAGCGTATATTAAACATTTTGATTTTGAGTTAAATAAGTTTGATACTTCTTTAGAAAGTGATCATAATTGGCTTTAGTTAATGTTTCATCCATTTAATGCATTAAAAGCGTCATAACCATTCCCAATCTCTTATCAAACATTGTTTATTTTCGTAAATTTTTCTTCCGCCGCCATTGAAATATTTGTGTAAACTACGGATCGGAACCGGACCAGATATGACAAAATCCCGCATTTTTACGATAATACATGTAACTACAGATGCACAAATGGCACGGTAGACAGAAAAAAAATATCACAAAAGAGAAAACTACGCATTCCACGCGCATTAACAGACTATTTATTAGATATCTTTGCTAAATGTATTCTTTTTGAAAATACATTGTTTTAATATACTGTAAAGTAGCTTAACTTTGTTAAAAATATATATCATTTTGATATAAAGAAACAACTGGGACTAATTCATTGAGTACCAAACAATGAATTTCATAGACATGATAAAGAAAAAAGTTTTTTAATTGAAATTTTATTGCTATATGATACTTTCTCTTCCCTTTTTATATAAAAACCAGTTCTTTTATTTTTGCTAGATATTTAGTATTGTATATATATACAGATATACAGGTTGAACTATAATAAACCATTCATTCATTCATTCATTTAGTTGAGTAGGTAGGGTAACTGGAACCACACATATATTTTTATTTGGCCCAAGAGGAAAAAAATAATTCTGTAACTGTAAATGAATATAGAAAACATAAACTGAAACAACTGTTATCATGGTTAAAGTTTAATTGTATTCTCAGTTATGAATTGAACAATATAAACATATATAACATAAAGGAAATAGAGCATCGCCGCAACACGTCAAATGACATTGAAAAAAATACAGTTTATTTTTTTTACGCCAAATGTGATGCTATCCAAAATTTCTGGGGAGAACACTGATCACAGGTAGATGCAGTTCATGAACATTAGAACTCAATGAAATAAATATTTACTGATTTACTGAAAGAAGTAAGAGTTAAAACCATGAAAATAAGGTACTCAAGAACCAAAATGTTCTTCTCAAACAATGCAATTTTGTTTCCACATATATGTAAATACTAATATGTTTGACTTTATAAGCACTTTTTGGGGGCTTTCATGATTTAAAGACTCTTAAAGTTCATAAAGTATGTAAAACTTGATATGCATGATTTTAGGTAATGTGACTTAACTTCAACAAATACTAACTTTTACAAAAAGTTGATATGATGGTTCACTAGATGTTGGAGGATTGACTACCACATCCATAGCAGCCTATAATAAACATAAAAAGTTTATACAAAGTTTTTCTAAAACAAACTGTTGACACAGTGATATGTCTTGCCTATCGGCATAAAATTCAGAAAAAGACAATCTGATGGACAGCAACATTACTAATTAAATCAAATTCGCTGGACCAACTAGTGGGTAGGGCTTCAAGATGGTTGACAAACTGAGATGTACAGACAGCAATGTAACTTTAGTGAAAATATTGTCTATTGTAAGTAGTTCCTATCAAACTAACTTAATCAGAAAACTTAACATGGAAAATTGTTAATTGATTGAAAGTCACTGGACCATGACCTAGGGGGCAGGGAAACTGATATGTACTGATAGTACTGCAACTTTATAGAAAATATCATTGATCTATCGCAAGTAGTTCATATCAATCTAACTTAAGTAGAAAACTTAACATTTAAAATTTCTAATTAATTCAAAGTCACTGGACCATGGCCTGGGGGGGCTCAAAATAGTCATCAAACTGATATCTACTGATAGTAATGCAACTTCATACAAAATATCCTTGATCTATCACAAGTATTTCCTATCAAACTAACTTAAGCAGAAAACTTATCATTGAAAATTGCTAATTAATTCAAAGTCACTGAAACGTGGCCTAGGGGGCAGGGCCTAAAAAATGTTGTCAAACTAATATGTACTGATAGCAATGCATCTTCATACAAAATATCAATGATCTATCACAAGTAGTTCCTATCAAACTAACTTAAGCAGAAAACTTAACATTTAAAATTGCTAATTAATTCAAAGTCACTGAAACGTGGCCTAGGGGGCAGGGCCTCAAAATTGTCGTCAAACTGATATGTACTGATAGCAATGCATCTTCATACAAAATATCAATGATCTATCACAAGTAGTCCTATCAAACTAACACAAGCAGAAAACTTAACATTTAAAATTGCTTATTAATTCAAAGTCACTGAACCATGTCCTAGGGGGCAGACCTCACAATTGTCATCAAACTGACATATGCTGATAGTAATGCATCTTCATACAAAATATCAATGATGTATCACAAGTAGTTCCTATCAAACTAACTTTAATTCCTATCAAACTAACTTAAGCAGAAAATTTAACAATTGTTGACGCCAACACCGCAACTGTTGCTGGAAAAGCAATCCCTATGTCCCACTTTCCGCGAACAAATGGTGAGACAAAAATTATAACTGACACATCCATTGAATCTATATGTGTAATCTATGGTGATCAGCAGTATTGTGATCGATTATAAAAGTATCCACCAGAGTATGTGACTACAGTCTGCATTGTATTTTCTGTCTGTTGCTGATGACATCAAGTAACAATCAAAGTATGGACTCCTTTGTGTGGAATTTATTCCATGGTGATTTGGCAAAACAACTTTTTATCAGAAGAAAGGAAAGTTTATTTGTATTTTGTGATATATGTGGTTCCTTAAAAAATGTATTGCAAACTTTTTAAAAATGAATAATTATCTAGCTGTTCATGTTTTTGTCATTTCTTAGGTCATAAGATTATCAAAATACCTAATATTCAAACTATTAGGGGTATAGAAAATTTATTATAACCCCAAAAATGTCCAGGAAAAGGAAAAAATAATCTTGCGTTTTGAGTCATGACAAGCTTTACAAGTAGACAAAATAAAGACAATATAATTCTGATTCTGGTAGCTATAGGGTAAATGTACCTGTCCAGAAACAGATGAACATAGTTTAGCAGAAATGGATTTCAGCAGCTGAACTCTGACATCTGGGTCGAGGTTGATTGCTTCACAATATCCTCCTCGGAAACCACACCTGAAAGATAAAGTATATTTTCCAACTATCTAGTAAAAAAGTATAACAAAAATACAGAACTCAAAGGTAAAATCATAATGGGGAAGGTCTTAAAAACTGACAAAATCAAACCTTGGACTTTATTAACCAATAGAACGAATGGAAAACAACTGTCATATTCCTGACTTGGTACAGGGATTTTCTCAAGAAAAGGCTGGGTAAACCTAGTTTTATAGCTAGCTAAACCTCCAATTTGTATGACAGTTTTTTATAGTTTTTTTATATTGATAAAATTGGATGAGCAACTCAAACAGACATAGTTGTCTAATTGGCAATCATACCAGATCTTATTTTTATAATAATAATAATGTGACAATAATTGGGATCCAGCAGCCAAAACTGTGTAAACATATATCACAGATATTTAACACAACTGACTAAACAATTCAAACAAACATACAAATAAATCTAACAACATGAACAAAGACACCAACAAAAAAGTTTTCGTAGTTGATAGTACATACAGTATTATAATATAAACTTCCTTAAATTATAAAGTACAAATTAAGTAAAATATAAGGACAAGGGTAAACAAAATGAATCAACACTGTTAAAACCTCTTGCATAAGAACATTTTAAAGATTGTATGTCATAGCATAAAGTATTACGTGTCAACCTACCTAATACATACTTATCATCTAAAATCAGACAAATCAAAAACAGGATGAAGATGAATGCACTATTTCATTAAAAGACAGAATACATTTGCAGTTCTCTAAAATACAGGCCTAGCAGATATTATATAATCATAAGCATCAAACTTGTAAGATATTAACAACAATTTGGCAAGTAGTCGATAAAAGGGTTTGTAGGAGGGAGATAAAAAGCAATGACCTTTTCCAAGAAAGTTAAACCTTTCAAGTAACATGGCAATGCCATCAAAATCAGCAAAGCATATGATGTAAATTACAGATCTGAGAAGTTACAGGAGTATCATTCTCTTCAGTTAAGAACTTGAAGAAAGTCAGACATTTCAAATGTAACATGAGAATGCCAACAACTTCAGTAAAGTAGATGATGAAAGTCATTTACTGCTTGAATAAGTGTGTGAAGAAATGTAGTGGGGAATATCAATGAAAGATTTAAATAAATGGGGAATGTGTCCATGTACATATAACGTTATGAAGGTACATAACTAAAGAACGGTAAAAGTGACACTACCCAAATTTGTACTTCATCTGAGTTTTCTGGTAATAAGCATTGTGTATAAGTTTCATGACATTTGGTTGAGGCAAACTTAAGTTAGAGAACAGAAACCAATTTTGGGACGTACGGACGGACAAAGGTAAAACTTAATGCCCCCTACGCTAGCGTCGCTACGGCGAGGGCATAATTAAACAGGGCAGTTGACCCATGTAGTCGCTGATTCCCTCGTTGGACATTCAACAATAGAATAATCTGTAAATGATTGGAGGCTGATACTGAAGGACCTTTCTATTGGTTCTAGCATTAAAGATGACTGTAATCATTGGTTCTGACTGAAAGGAAGTCTGACAATTGACAAGAATATTTCTCCATAGACCACCATGCCTTGCTTGCACTATCATGTGTTTATGTAAACAATATACATGCAAGCAACAAGGGTCAATCTCTAGTACAGCTGTATTATCCAAAAGCAAATGACTTACTCCCCCATATATCCTTTTGATGTCGACATAAATGAGGCCAGTTCAATGTCCTGGAATTCTGGTCCCATCTCTGTCAATACTTTTTTAAAGGAATGGAAGGCTGACCCTTTGGCATATACATTGTGTTGATAAACCTACAAAATGTCAATATATAACAGTTTATTATTATAAAAAATATAATTAAAAGTATATATAAAAATAAGGAGATGTGGTATGATTGCCAATGAGACAACTATCCACCAAAGTTCAAATGAAGTGGATATAAGCAATTATAGGCAACCGTATGGCCTTCAACAATGATTTTAAGAAGCCTGTTTTAAGCTACAGAGTGTGGAAAATTTTCAATCTTTTATCTAATTAAACTACTGATGTTTTCTTCCTCTTTTACATCAAAGTCTTTTAAATTTAAAAAAAAAACATCAGATCAAAATTTAATGAGTTTCATTAAGGTTCATCTATACACTTCAACAAAAATGGCTGTGTTTACACCATGAAATTTTCTCTGAATGCAGACAAAACTGTGTAATTCTAATAGTTTTAAATCCTGGCAGCACCTAGATATATACAAGGTGTATTCATTTTGTGTTTTAAAAAGAAAAATACTTTTGTGCATTTTGCTTAACATTTTCTTTCCTTGCCACAGGTGGTGTAAAAATAAACAAAGTCATGTGAAATCTTTGAGATGGTCCCACTCAGGTAATGATTGTATTGTATCATATTGATTGATATGGACGATAGAGGGACAATCAAAATCTACTCACAACAAAGGTGATTTAAATAGTGTAAATGAGTGGACTGTATCAAAGAAAACTCAGGTGTTTGTTTATTTCACCATCTTCTGTGGCAAGGAAAGAAAATGTTCATCAAAATCCATAAAGTGTTTTAACTTTTTTTAACATAAGTTGGATGTAACATTAATTTATCTAGGTGCTGCCAGGCATTAAAACTTTTAAAATCACACAGTTTTGTCTGTACTCAATTTCATGGTGTAAACACAGCCATTTTTGTTAAAGTGTATAGATGAACCTTAATTTAAGATGAAATAATAAAAATGTCTTTGTTCAATGAAAATTACTGCAAAAATATTGCATTTCCTCTCGTGACAAAAATCTACATTGACTATTTCAATTGTGAGACAGTTGGCAGATACTACATTAAGATTCTATTGTTTTCCCTTATATGACCAAGGAGGCTGTTCATAATTTTTTAATGCAAAGAAATATGGTTTGAATAAATCATACCACATCTCCTTATTTATATATATATTGAAAAAAATTACATTTGAATACACCAAATATAACAACAATAACAAGTGCCATTTCTGCATTTCAAAATTTATACCAAAAAGGGTATCAAAATTTTTAAAACACAAAGCTGACCTTAGATGAATTGGCTACTGTAAATTCTGAAATTATTGCGTGCATTTATTACTGCGAATTTTGTAGAATGGATGAAAATGCAAGATTTATTATTGCGATTTCAGAAAAATCAGCATACAGTTATATGTATCAGATATAAGAATACAATTTCTTATTATTGCGATACTCATTCAATCACATTATTTGTATTAATAAAAACCTTGCAATAATTTCTGAATTAACAGAATTTTCTTTTTCTGTCCAAAATAGCTACTCATTTATTCCGGTATTTATACATAATTGGATTTCAAAAGTTTTGGACTGACCATTCCTGGTGAAAGTAAATCCAGAAAAGTGCTTTGGAAGCACAAAATTTATAAAACGTTATATTAATTTTGAAACTCCTGATACATGACTATAGAGATAATCTTTTGTTTCCAATAGAATTTTTCCTTTCTTAATGTTGATGGTTTCATATACCACTTAAACATTTCCTTACAGCATGCTTTGCATTTGTCTGCAATAAAGCATATATATAATGTGTTTAAACATACCTCATCAGCCATCAAGACTAGATTTTCTTCCTTGGCAAATCGAATGACGTTTTCTATGTTTTCTCTAGATAACACCTGGCCTGAAAATAGAAAAAAAATATATAGTGCGCAAAAGTTTATTCTGATAAATTAATTGGGGAGCTGTATAACAAAAAGTAGTCACAAAAAAAACAAAAAAAAATCTAGTCAAGGACTTATCCAGGTTAAAGATTTTTCTACTATACATTATTCAAAAAACATCTTCAGGTAAAAGTTTTATATAATATAATATACATATTTACTTACAAATTGGGAAAAGAAACATTTACTGTTAAAAGAAACACTTGTTTTATTTTTTTTCAGGCAACTTTAGGTCTCATTTTTTTAATGTGCACTTAAATTTTTCATTTTTGTCCTTTTGTTCATCAAATTAACTTTTTACCTGTAGGATTTCCTGGGTTAATTACACATAGAACTCTAGGTATACAGTGAGATCTGGCTTCTTGTATGGATCGTTTTAATTCAGGTATGTCTAATGACCAATTGTTATCTTCATTTAAATAATAATTGATCTGCAAAAGACAAACTCATATAAGGAGCATGAATGAGAAAACATGAAAGGCAAAATATGAGAGAATTTCAAAATTTGTCATTTTATGCCTTTTATGCCTTGGTGGCCCTCCTTCTGTCCATCTATATAATGGGTATATAGTTTGCCTTTTTCTTATTTCAGTAACTTTGTTTTAAAGGAAGAACTTTATTATTTTGTAAACCATTTGTACATATTCTGAAGATATGCATAAAGACAGGATTTTGCTTTCTTAAAATTTTAACAAAACAAACAGTTGCTAAAAATTTTGGGGTAATTTCCCCCAAATAATTGGAACAAGATTGTTCATCCTACTGTTAACACATTAAAGTATCTTGTTTTGAAGAACAATTCAACATAAACTGACGCTGTAAAAGTTGAAAACATATTTTTTTTTCTAACTTTAAAAAAAATTACCAATTGCTTAAATCAATTTTGAGGTACCACAGTTAAAATACCAATTGCTTAAATCAATTTTGAGGTAAATCTATAATAGTATCTACAATGTATGTATTTTGTCAAACAATTATGCATGTCTATATTCAGCTATCATGCAGAAAAGCATTATACTCAGCTTAAGTGCCATGTTGAAGGGGATTGTGGTACTTACAGGACAAGTATTATACTCAGCTATAGTGGCTGTGTAGAGGGGGAGTGTGGTACTTACAGGACAAGTATTATACTCATCTATAGTGGCTGTGCAGAGGGGGAATGTGGTACTTACAGGACAAGTATTATACTCATCTATAGTGGCTGTGCAGAGGGGGAATGTGGTACTTACAGGACAAGCATTATACTCGGCTATAGTGGCTGTGTAGAGGGGGAAAGTGGTGCTTACAGAACAAGCATTATACTCGGCTATAGTGGCTGTGTAGAGGGGGAATGTGGTACTTACAGGACAAGCATTATACTCGGCTATAGTGGCTGTGTAGAGGGGGAATGTGGTACTTACAGGACAAGCATTATACTCGGCTATAGTGGCTGTGTAGAGGGGGAATGTGGTACTTACAGGACAAGCATTATACTCGGCTATAGTGGCTGTGTAGAGGGGGAATGTGGTACTTACAGGACAAGCATTATACTCGGCTATAGTGGCTGTGTAGAGGGGGTACTGTGGTATTGGTATCATTACTCCTGCCCTATTGTTTCCTCCTTCACCAGTCATACATAGTTTCATGATGGTCTGTCAAAAATAAAACAAAATTAAATCACAATAATGAGTGTGTTCCAAAGCATGATTATCAATTTTACCGAAAATATAGCTTTTAAACAGTTCTTTCACAAAATGACTCAAACATTATTAAAATAGGACAGAAAGTCACAAGACAAAATGTCATGGACAAAAAATCTCAATGAACTAATGAGTTATTATAATTTGCTCTCAGTACGAGTTTCCCCTATTTTCTGATTGTTTATTTGGTATTACATGAACTTAATTTGTTTGCATGTACACTGTACTTATTTTCATGACATATACAACAATTCAGCTTATATCTAAATTTACAGTATTTTGAATATTTACTGTCTATCTAGTTTTTTTCGGGTGTGTTTAATTTTCACTTTGTTCGCGGAACCTTCAGAAACCAAAAATATGACCCTGCATAAATTTCCCTGCCTATACCTAGATTTATAGCTGTTTGAACGTGTCATACATAAATCTGTTAGTTATCGAGTTTACACAAAATTGATATGTAAACTCATTTCACCCTAAAGGTGAAATAATATTTATATATATAATCAGTCTTTTATATTGTTCAGCAGATCACAAGAGTGTGCATAATTAATTAAGATATCAGTTTTCATAATAATTAATTTGGCTAATCATACATTTCATACTGTTGTCAGGTCATTAAAGATTGCATATTTTGGCTTTAATATTTATTCACTTATAGGGTCTTTGCATCGGAATTAAACATATTTATTCTAAAACCAGTTGTTGGCATGACACGGGTTATGTTTTTCTCATATATTTTATGATGGTATAATACTAAACCCCTAACAGGAGGGATTGTGCCTGATATTCATATGATGAAGACAATCTTTCAATCAGTTTAATTGAGGTCTGGAGCTGGCATGTCAGTAACTGCTAGTAGTCTGTTGTTATTTATGTATTATTGTCATTTTGTTTATTTCTTTTGTTTCCTATTCTGACATCAGACTCGGATTTCTCTTAAACTGAGTTTTACTGTGCGTACTGTTGTGCGTTTGTTTTTTCTACATTGGCTAGAGGTATAGGGGGAGGGTTGAGATCTCAAAAAACATGTTTAACCCCGCTGCATTTTTGCACCTGTCCCAAGTCAGGAGCCTCTGGCCTTTGTTAGTCTTGTATCATTTTTAATTTTAGTTTCTTGAGTATAATTTGGAGTTTAGTATGACGTCCATTATCACTGAACTACAAATTTGTTTAGGGGCCAGCTGAAGTCCACCTCAGGGTGCGGGAGTTTCTTGCTGCATTGAAAACCCATTGGTGGCCTTCGGCTGTTGTCTGCTCTATGGTCGGGTTGTTGTCTCTTTGACACATTCCCCATTTCCATTCTCAATTTTATGTTCAAAACTATTAATTAGTGACATCTATTGATTGTTGTCATAACCCAAACATTTGGAATCTAACTTAAAAATAAAATTTATATAAATCACATTTTAACAGATATTTGCACAAATATGCTTTCAAATGCTTTATAATACCAGCACAAAAATTATGGAAACTTTCATTTTTTACCATGCCGCAATGAACTTAATTTAGACGATTATTAAAAGATCTCTGAAATTATGTGTATTTTTGTTTCTAATACACATATTTATTTGTAATCAATTATCTGTCAGTCAATCAATTTTTATGGTTGCTTACATCTTTAACAATACAATATGGTGATTTTTTGCGTTTATTTTTCCATTCAGTAAAAATTATACACAGCGAAAATTTAACCTGCCCATTTTGTCACCAAATAACAAAAAAAAACAATATACAATATATTACAATCACAGACAAAACCATAGATTCATTGTTACATAAAAAATCACAAAGAATAATGGAAAATAAATATTGGTTCACCTCTACCAATGAAATAAATATGGTTCCACACTATTAAACTAGTATCATTTCAATAATTGACTATGTAATATACAGCCCAATGTTCTATTTAGAATTTAAGAAAACAAGGGCACAGTTTTGAGTTATATGGTATCTAAGCTTTTCTCAAGGGGACACCTTGATCATGTTTACAGATAAACAATTGAAATACACATAGTAGAATAAATTAATGTTTTTTTGCTGAATTTATAGCACTTTGGTTTGTAAAAAGGTTTGACAGTAGTTACAATGATACTCTTTGCATTGAAAAATATCAATTTTCCATCAGAAAACAAAAAGGTATACAGCAGGACCATAAGGGAAGAAGGATACTTGAATGGACAGAAGAGAGCACAGAAATGGCAGAAGGAAGCTGAGCACCTCTATTTTGGGCTACCTATATTACTGCAATCAGAGAGTTATTAGTACAAAAATGTATATCATGTTTTTCTAATCCATAACTTGGTTGATCCATACGATGTGTCTTTGTCCAAACTAACTAAGGACATTTTTACCACGTGTTAGATTGTGGTTTGTCATTACGTCGTCTGATCTTTTAATTACCGAATGTGACTTATTCCCGATTGTGACTGTTTTGCTGAGTGTGAAACCGCATTGCTATAAGACGTGTCACGGTACTTTTCTATCCCAAATTCATGTATTTAATTTTGATGTTATATTTGTTATTCTTGTCAGATTTTGTCAAATGTCTTAACGTCTTTTCTGTTATATTCGTGTGTTATGGTAAAGATAATTAATCACCCCCTTCATTTATTAGATTTTAGTTTGGTTCAACGAAATTTATACCATATATTTGGTTTACAGTTTGATTCAGAAGAAACACCGACATAGCTAGATAATACAATTAATTATCTAATTACTACCACAATTTGATATTAATAAGTATTGTAATTTTCATTGTTATTAATAAATGTAATGTCAGTATATTACAAATCTAATCTTGAATCAATCCTAATCCTATCTTATTTTTGGGAAATATTTTTACAAATTCAAATGTGACGTCACTTTGTGTGTTTTTTTAGAATTTCAAATGTTACGTCAATTTGTGCGTTGAGGCTTTGGCTAACTCGGCTGTGTATTTTTATGTGTTGGATTAAGTTGTTTTATGTAATGTATCCGTTTTTATTCTGTAGTTAGTCCCCACTTCGGTTTTATCATGTATATCTATTATATAGTCATTTTATAAAATTTACTGTTTGCAAAATTATAAATTATTCTAAATAATAAGGATGTTCTTGTCCCAGGTAAAAAACCCTGGCCGTGTTGGGCGCAACTTTTTGGAAGTTTTGGTCCTCGGTGCTCTTCAGCTTTGTACTTGTTTTGGCTTTCAAACTTTTTTCATCTGAGCGTCACTGGTTGGTCTTGTATGGACGAGACGCACGTCTGGCGTATTGAATTTTAAGCCTGGTACCTTTTGTTAGCTATTATTCGTGTGTTTCTTTGTCCTATATGTTCTCCCATTTATTTGTATTGTGGTCCTGTCATGTGATGTTGTCGTTTTGGTGTTGTGTCTGACGTTGCCATAAAAGCGGGAGGTTTGGCATGCCACAAAACCAGGTTCAACCCATCATTTTTTTCTTAAAATGTCCTGTACCAAGTCAGGAAAATGGCCATTGTTATATTATAGTTCGTTTCTGTGTGTGTTACATTTTAATGTTGTGTTTTTGTTGTGTCATTGTTCTCCTCTTATATTTGATGCGTTTCCCTCAATTTTAGTTTGTAACCAGGATTTGTTTTTATCTCTATCGATTTATGAGTTTCGAACAGCGGTATACTACTGTTGCCTTTATTTCTAAAATACTTCTATCACCTAGCCTCCAAATTATTAAACATTAAACAACCAGTAAGTTGTGAGAGTGAGTAACATGCAAGAAATCATTGAACCTCATTGAGAAAATTAAAGAGCCTCTTTAGAAAAGAATCATTGACCAAATAGAGTTACCTTGATACCATCACTTGCCCCTGTACAAAGGAATATATTATCAGGATTACAAGGATGACCATCTCTGTTTGTTATATAAGATGCTATGTCTTCTCTTATAACCCTCACACCTGAACTGTCACTATAGGCACCTAAAATAGAAAAATAAGGACTTTTGCATTTATCTATCAGATGGAAATATAGTGATGGCCAAGTCTTTGGGAAGCATAGACTATTTCTTATCTTCCAAGCCTCGAGCTCATATTTAAAAGTTATCAGAATTTCCCCTGGTGGGTGAGATTTTCATCTGTTCAAATAAAAATGGCTATTTTCATAAAAGACTCCCATGCATCCTTCCTACATTGTTTGGCTTGCTATACCTTAAGCTATTTAACATATTTTTGTTACTTCTGTTATAGTGGATTTAATTCTTTTTGTGGGTACCAATTTTCGTGAATTGTCAATATGAGAAAAAACTTGCATTTTTGTGGATTTTTGATTTTGAGGTTTTCACAAGTCTGCAAACAAGCCTATAGAAAATTTGTAATTGGTTGAAGATTTGAATTTATGGTTCACCTGTACCCACGAAATCCACGAAAATTATTTTCCCTCGAATAATACTGAATCCACAGTAGCTTGTAAAAAAAATGTATTTCTGAAATTTGAAAATAGTATTTCCAATAGGTTGCCATGGAATCTATGTGACATCATAAGTGTCAAGTATTCCATTAGAGCTTCATCAAGTTCATAAAATTAGCAATCCATGTAGAATATTGTCATTTCTGAAAAGTTTGAAAAGAATTTTCCATGTAAACCATAGCTTCATGGAATCAGAAACTATAAAATAATTCAATCCTAACAAAGAATTTGCTATGACAGCCATTTATTCTTGAAATCTTATGTGGCATCATTGTTGACATGTTTGCCATATAATCAGCATGGACAAATGATTCTTTGAAGAGGGTCTTTACTCTTGTAAAGTAAGCTAAAACTTTGCCTTGTATACAAGAAGAAGAAATTTAAAGGTGGTATTTTCCCTCTGAGAAGAACAAATTATAGAAAGTAAGTCTTAGAAAGACCTTTTATTCCTGTAAAGCTTTGGCCAAAGTGAATTCATGCGAGATCCAAATAATGTGAAAAGTTACAACACAATGACAGGCAACAGATGTGAAAAGAATACAATAGCTATAGCATGAATCAAGTGTGCTACGTATTACATTTACAGATTAAACTAAGAAACAGTAGCATAAACACAATAATTGAAAATCTACCTTTACTTGCAATGTGGGATTTTTTGGGGGGTCGTCTGATTATATTTTGTATGCAACATAGAAAGAAAACAAAATCAGGAATTCTCAGACACACAAGAGTAATATTTTAAGTCAATCACTAGGCTAACCAAAAAGAAAGAAAGAATATTAAAACTGTAACAAGAGACAGACAAATAATACAAATAATAAACAGAATAAAAATGGTGAACAAGATAGAAAATAAACAATAACATATTCAGTCAATTTGTAATGTAAAAGTACATTTGACCCTAATTTTAAGTAACCATAAAATTAAAAGATAATGGGAAACCATACAACGGGTGTCTCAGACTTCCAAATCTTAAAGATTCTTTTTTCTCATCCAATCAATGCACAAAATAATTTAAATATTATTTGAAGTTGTGCAAAAAAGACATTAATACTCCATCAACATGGACACTGAGTGAGACAGCAACATCTCAAACTCAAAGTTCCAAATGAATGTTAGCCAACATAACAGAGTGAGAAAGAATAATTGATGTAGTATACATACCTATACTTTGGCCACCACAGCCTGATAATATTCGTTTTGCTCTACTTTTGGCATCTGCTGGATATTTTGGATCATCCATTAATCTATCTGGATCGGAACATATAGCAACAACCTGGAATTATCTTTTAAACGTCAAACATTTCAAGATCTTGAACAATCCATATCATGGTATTGAAAATATATGTTGTTTACATGGATTTATTTGTAAGAAGGCAAGTTTCCTGTATTTTATCAATTCAGAATCATTTATTATCATATAATGCATATTCATAATCATGATAATGAGAATTTATAAAAAAAGAAATCAACCAATATGCTGTGGTAACAAATTTGAAAAGATAGTAAGTTGTTTGGATAATTCTGTGTTTAACAGTAAAATGATGATAAAGAAATGTGTAATTACCAATTTCTCATTCAGTTTGGACTGATCAATTTCATGATTTTTTACAACAGTGGAATAATCTTCAACAAGGTACATTGTAAATTGTATTGGTTCTTTCAAACCTCATGACACCCCTTAATATGCTTAACAAATTTACCTGTCTCAGAAAGATCAGTTTTTTTTTCTAATAGCATGACAACACCTGATATATTTACCTGTCTCAGAAAGGTCAGGGGCTTTTGTCCAGTTGCATGACAATCCCCAATATTGGCCCTAATAACATCAGTAAATGGTTTACTCTTACCCTGAAAAGAAATTATATAAGTTTACATAGCTTCCAAACGGCAATACATTAAAATCACCTTTTCTACGATAAAACTGTGTTTAAATAACATTCAAGTAATACTGTAAACTGATAATCTTAAATAAAACTGATTTACAAATTTACTTTAAGTGTGCAAACTTTTATTATAATTTGCATTTGACTGATTTTTCAGCACTTTAATTTGTGCAAGTTGTGTAATGTTTCCGATCATCATATTGCTACATGTACCTTGAACCCATTGTTATGCGAGACCCAATAGGCTGACTAATGGGATTATCTTCTTGGTTACGCATAAAGTGTAATAACACTTATCTGAAATGTATATATATGCTTTCAAATTCGACAAGTGATACTGTTGGTCATCAATAAATCATTTTCTAATGTTTAGGATGACATAAATTTGAGAGAAAAAGAAAATTGAAAATATTTTCATATCCAAGTGCAGTTAATTTAAGACAAATATAACATGTATTTTCTAGACAGTCAAAAAAGACAATTTTTTTTGTCTTAATCAAAGAGCTTGTATAGTTGAAAAGTTGGCATTGTTTCCTTTGATTTCAGTAGTTTTGTCAACAAAATAACTTTTAACTCAACATCTATTCCCCTTAATCCCTTATGCAAGAGATTTTCCATTATGCATTTTTATATCAAAAATGGCAGCAATTCCAAATATCACAGCTCAAGTGTTATGTGGATAGTATTAACCTTATAGGCCCTACCCCCAGCATTATACACAAATTACAAAACCAGGAGAAAGGGATTAGAAATTGCATTGTTCCTCTAAAATCATAGCACCTCATTTATACTGTGACGGAATATAAGTTCCTTCATAATATAAGTTCCAAATGGGAACAATATTCTGGAATATTATTTCCACTGGAATAGATATTACAGTAAATGTTCCTAACGGAATAAATGGTATAGAATATATGACCCAACAGGAACAGATATTATGACATTGTTTATAACAAAGTTTCCAGTGGAACTTCTGTTAGGCGGAACAAATATACATTGACACTATCTTAATATATATATATATATATATGTATAAGTAACCTATTTCATAAAATGTGTGGCAGTTTGATCTATTGTTAAGCAGCATATCCTTATTATGGAAGACAGTCAGTTGTTGCTTTATATTCTAAATTCCCTTGGAAACAAAACTGTTGAATGTACTGAGACAAGAAGCTTACAAATTTTAACTCCCAAGAAGCTTACAGCTTTTAATTCTTGCTCTATTTCTGCAGCACGAATGACGATTGGACCTCTAACTGCATATTCCATGTTTTTGACAAACGGGTTAATGTTGTCAGTTGACAAAACTTTTGACCTTGTTTGGACAAGGTTTACACGTCCGTGTTCTTTTGACCATTTTACATGACTACAAATTGTATGCAACCTATGTCGTGCGCTCCTCATATTTGTTTTCACTTCAAAAGTTCCGTCAAAAACAATTTATGTTGTTGTTTGAGGCAGTTTGAACTGGAAATCCAAATTATGAAAGAAGTCAACTGGTAAAATTCAAGGGAGACAATTCAACCAATAATTTAAAATACGCCACAGACGCGAGACGGGTGTGTAATTCCGGATATTTTACAGATAATCTTTTCGATTTAAAAGTTCTTTATGTTCGACATGTGAATATGTTGGAAGCATTTTAAAAACAAAAATGCTATATCCCCATCTTGATCGTTGCGTGATTCTCAAGTATTTAAGGAAAATTGCACCAGGATGTTTTTACTTAAGTCACACAAAAAATGCACCAAGGCAGTATATGAGGACCTATTCTTTTTAATCAATACATCAATGATTTATTAGAGGTTGTGGAGAGTATAGTGAAAAAAAAATGCAGATGAAACAAAAAATTATGCACCAACTACTAAATCAGAGTCTCTTTTCACAAAAAAAAACGTTACAAGAAAAACTTATCACGGTAACCGTCATGTATAGTGAAATGTTTATGACTTAAGAGTATTTTTTCTTGTAAGTTTTTTTTTGTGAAATTAAATTGTCTCACAAAATGTTCTTTATGCACTCTATTCCTGGGCAAAGTTATGGGATATGATATTTAATGTCAGTAATTGCAGAGACATATATTATATGTCTCTGGTAATTGTAAGCGCATACACTATGAAAGAAATTATTATTTTCCTGAAAATGTTTAAACTTTGAACAATTATGAACAATAAAGATATCATTGAAGATGACTGACAAGAAAAGGATCTTGGAATTATTTTTCAAAAGGAAATTGAATTTACACAGCTTAATTCGAAGTAAAACCATAAATTGCATTAGTACGACCGCATGCAGTGGAATATGGAAACACCATATTGTACCCGCATTTAAAAAAAGACATAATTTCTGTTGAAAAACTGGTGCAGATGGGAACAACAAAATTAATTCCAGATATAAGAAATTTGTGCTATGAAGAAAGATTAAAAGTACCCAAACTTCCTTCTCATACTTACAGAAGGCGTCGTCGTGATATGACACAAACTTTTAAAATCATGTTATAAATTGATTTGAAGATATACCTGTCAACCTATGACAATGAAAGTGCAGGATTATGACCTGCAAAGAAGAATGAAATATCAGGTGATAACGCGTACGAACTTTTTCGAGCTGAATTTCAGTATTTAGGGGACATTTTTCTTATAATTTATATCAAAGTTTCCAAATTATGTCCACATGGTTCTATAAGTAATTTAAAATTGTACATATTATTATTTCATTGCACTTGAAGGCCATTGATAGATTTGTGTTATATTGCCTTAATTACTTTTCATATTCATTCTATGACATACAATGTGTCAATTTGTGTTTTCTTTAGTTACATTTTTTTCATCTTTAATCTTTACTTACATTTGTGCAGCTTATAAACATGTTGTTTAACTTTATTTTTTTATACTCTAATATCAATAAAAAAAATATGTTCCCATGTTTATAAGCTGCACAAATGTAGTTCTTTACTTACATTTGTGCAGCTTATAAACATGGGAACATATTTTTTTTTATTGATATTAGAGTATAATAAAATAAAGTTAAACAATTAAAGGAGGTATAGATGAAAAAAGTAATTTTCAAAATTTCAATTTTTTTTATTTTTCTTATTAAAAAATAAGTAAAAGAATTATTCTGATATGTTTTTGCGTTCAATTCATTTTAAATTTAATCTTTTTACAAAAAAACACATAAGTTTAAGGAATATATTGTGAATTGACAAAAAAAGGGGAAGTAACTCAAATTGTTTTTAAAACAACTTTGAAATACATAAATTATTTGCGACCTAAAGCTTAGATAATCGGTGTTAATTAACAGTGTGTTTGACACCAAAGCTGTCAAGTGAAGCCAGGCACTAAAATGGGTCACTTGATTTGAGTTTACACAGCTAGTTGAACTTCTTGTCCAGGAAGAATTACGAATTTGCCGGTTCTTAAAGGAAAATCACTTTATATGAAATCAGTCTGAAGGCTTAGGAATCCGGGTGGAAACGGGTTATTTTCCGAATTCCCGGGTTATTTGGCCACCCGGCGGGTGTCCCGGGTGACCCCTCAGGATTGTGAAAATCTCGGGTCACACCCGCAGGATCCGGGACAGTTGACACGTATGTATAATGTATTAAAGTTTTTTTTACTGTTATTAGGACAAATAATATCAAATTATCGAAGCCTAGATGTGACACAAAATTTAGTTTGAGACTTTTTTCACAAAGCATAATAATATTAAACGATTGGAATAATCTACCAGTTGATGTAATTGCTGCCAAAACTATTGAAGCATTTTAAATAAACATAGAACGTCATCGGGAGACAGCTAGTGATATATCAATTCAGTGACTGATATGGACACAAATAGTTCAATATACATTTTTGATTGTTGCGAGATAGTGGCACCAAACCATGCAAGCTTGATGTATGTTTACAGAATTTTAAAATATTACCAAAATATGGTGGACTGAGCAGGATAGAATCATTCCCTACGAGATTCACATAGATCTTACAGGTATCTTACAGGAATGACACTATCAACAGTAAAACCGTGAGATATAGTAGTCTCAGAGTAAAAGATGCCTTCATAAATCTTGTGATGGGTTATATTTAGCCAGCGGTGTCAATCAGATGTGGATTCTTAATAATTATAAATATCTTCTGTAAAATCTCCAATCACAATGCTTACAATTTTGCAGTAATATCTTTCATTTTGATTTTTCTACGCCTTTTACTTCCCCATGCTTAATTGAAAGATTGATTACATCTCAAAAATGGGAATCGTAGATAAAAATTTCTTGTTGTAGAAGTGCAGTTCTTCAAAAAGTAAGATTGTTCTAAAAATCTTACCAAGTTTGTGAAGAACCTACGAAAGCCTATTAGGGTCACAATTTTTTTTTTATCTCGTAATTACGAGAAAACTATTGCGTAATTACGAGATAATCATTGTTTTATCTCGTAATTACAAGATAATCATAGTTTTATCTCGTAGTTACGAGATAATTATCGCGTAATTACGAAATAACTGTCGCGTAATTACGAGAGAACTATCGCGTAATTACAAGATAAGAAGCTGTTTAATCTCGTAATTATCGAGTAATTACGAGAAAACTATCTCGTAATTACGAGATAGAAATTCATTTGGCCAAATAGTTTAAGAGGAGAAAGATTTTTGTAAAAGATTAAAAAAATTTACTTTATTGCAGAAATGACTTTAAAGGGCAATTACTCCTTAAGGGGTCAATTGACAATTTTGGTCATTTGACTTATTTGTAGATCTTACTTGGCTAAACATTTTTGCTGCTACAGTTTATATCTTTCTATTATAATATTCAAGATAATAACCAAAAACTGAAAAATAATCATTAAAATTACCAATTCAGGGGCAGCATCCTAAAAACGGGAAGTCTGATTCGTCTGAAAAATTTTACCCTGTCATATTTGCTCTAAATGCTTTAGTTTCAGAGATATAAACCATAAACTACATTTTACACCCCCACCCCCTCCATGTTCTATTTTTAGCCATGGTGGCTATCTTGGTTGGTAGGCGGGGTCTTTGGATACATTTTTTTAAACTAGAAACCCTAAAGACGATTAAGGCCAAGTTTGGTTCAATTTGGCCAAGTGGTTTCAAAGGAGAAGATTTTTGTAAAAGTTAACGGACGACGACGGACGACGGACGCCATATGATGGGAAAAGATCACTCGACCCTTTGGGTCAGTTAAGCTAATAAAAACAGGCGTTTATCAGGTGCGCCGGAAGGGTAATCATGATCAATATATATAATATATATATATAATTTTATCTCGTAATTACGAGATAGTTTTCTCGTAATAACGAGATAATTTTCTCGTAATTACGCGATAGTTATCTCGTAATTACGCGATAATTATTTCGTAATAACGAGATAAAAAATGATCATCTCGTAATTACGCGATAGTTTTCTCGTAATTGCGCGATAATTATCTCGTAATTACGAGATAGTTTTCTCGTAATTACGAGATAATTTTCTCGTAATTCGCGATAATTATCTCGTAATTACGAGATAAAAAATGATTATCTCGTAATTACGCGATAGTTTTCTCGTAATTAAGCGATAATTATCTCGTAATTACGAGATAAAAAATGATTATCTCGTAATTACGCGATAGTTTTCTCGTAATTACGCGATAATTATCTCATAATTTCGCGATAGTTTTCTCGTAATTACGAGATAATTTTTTTTTTTTTTTATGTGACCCTAATAGGCTTTCGTTAGAAGAACCGCACTTCTTAAAAAAAATAACCGAGGATGTAATTATTAAAATACTGGACTTTTTGAGCGACTAGATTAATATTTCAACAGACAGTTGGTACAGTGTACCAACGGGTACTTACTGTGTACCCCTACTGACCGACTTGTTTTATTTTGTACTCGTATAAAGCAGAATTCACCATGACAAAACCTTCTCAAGAAATAATTTTATTTTGCAGGTAAGTTCTTTAATTTCAGTTTCTGAAATACATTGATGATGTCATGTCCTTCAATAATCCTCATTTCAGTGTATGCTTGCATCTCATACACCCAAGTAACATTTAGATTAAGGATACCATCGAACTAGAAGGTCTACTCTCATATCTTTATCTTAATTTTCATCGACATTGACGTCGATGGACGACTTCAAACTAGGATCAATGACAACGTGATGATTTCTTCTCTCCAATTGTCAACTTCCCATTTCTCAACAGTAACATACCTTCTGTCCCTTCGTAAAACAGAGTTATGAAAAAGACTGACTGAAATCTACCCTAAAAATGTTTAACGGTCATCATCACGAATAGGTCGATTGGTTGAATAAGATATGTCTGTGTCTCAACTCACTAGCGACCTGTTTTAGCAGTCCTGTAGATTTTAATATTATAATTCCAGAAAAGTCATCTAATCTGTAATTTTAGTGATTGTGTCCTATTCCCGATTGTACCATTTTGACTGAGTGTGGTTTCGTAAGGCCATGTGATTCATACATAGCAGTGGACACTTACCCTAGCGACGCACCCGGTCCGCTCCTTATGGGGTTCATGTGATTCCCTCAGTTTTTGTTTGTTGTCTTGATTTGTCACCTTCGTTGATTTTTGAGCTATGAACATCGAAAACTACTGTTGACTTAATTTACAGCGAGTGTAAAAAGCCCGACAGGAATTCAATAGGTTAACTGGAGATACCGTACTTTGAGGCTTGATTTCAGTAACTAATTACTAGCATTTCTTGATACGATAATATTCAGAATAATTTCTTCTGTTCCTGTGGTTAACACTTTTGTCGTCTGTTATACCGCGTCGTTAAAAGTTTCTTGTGTATATGGATTCGTCGAGATAACTTTATTCAAAGTGTTTCTGAAATATAGAAAAACCGTTTATCGATGTTGAAGTATGGTCCAATTTGCATGCATATAATATTATAAGAATGGATCACAACAATAAGATAAAGATCATAATCATAAGAGCAGGAATTGAATAAAAAATGACAAATCACAACTGACAATATAATTATATAGTTTCATTAAAGTCAATCTATTTAAAATATAGACCTATGATTTCGTTATCCTTATACGAGCGTGCGAGTTAATATAGATTTGAATTTCAATCAGATTGATTAAAAGTCTATAAGGCAAATGACGCTGAGGTCAAAAAGACAAACAAAAGATCACAAAACATCTATCTCAGTTTTTATTTAAATTGAAATCTAATAGAAGTTTTAATGACGATTGATGAACAGGCACTTGTTTCTGGAAAACAAATTTCATATGTACCTTAATATAAGACTTATATTATGGTATATGTAATTTTTTGTTAAAGACAAGTGCCTGTTAATTCCTGATAACTATTTGTTCCCTTTTATCTATAGATAGACAACAGTCTATCTCAATGAATGAAACCCCACCCCAGCCATATATAACCAAAGTGCAATAGTATAGAGACATGTACAAACAAATTGACAGACATAGTATAAAATATAAAACAAACGAACACATAAAGTTGTTACCCAGGAGACCAGTTCTAGGCATTTATTAGTTATAATGGGACTTAGTATTACAAGATACATTCTAATACATTTGTGCGGCTTATTTAATTAAGACGGATTGTTGCTCTTCATAAGGTCTTGAAATTTTTGAACATTTGGTCTGTTTACGAAAGGTGCTTGAAATGCATTCTTCTTCTTTCGTCCGACATGGCCGAACAATATATGACACTCATTGCAAATATTATCGGAACTACATAAAAAAAAACTAATACGGATTTCTCTCCGAATATTTTGAAATTATCATCAATTTCAAAAGGAATTGTAGTGTTCAAACTGTAAAATCGGGCTTTGAAAATAAACACTTGCATTTCATGTTTAGTTCTAAATGTGTTTAGAATTATGTCTAATATCTAAACACATTTCTAAGTAAGCACATTAAATCTTAACATGTCTTGAAACTAAACACTTTTAAATGTGTTTTAAAATTCAAGTGTTTTGTACTAAGACACTAATTTCTAAGCTAAACACGACCATAAACACAATCCCAAACACTTTCTTCAATCTACACACATTGTCAAACTAAAGATGTCACAAAGCGAACAAAAAATGTGTTTAGAATTGTGCTTAGAATCTGATTGATTTGATTTGATTTTTGGTATTTTAACGCCACTTTTAAGCACCGCTTTTGGGCTATTTCGTGGCGGCCAGTTTTTATTGGTGGAGGAAGCCGGAGTGCCCGGAGAAAACCACCGACCTTCGATAAGAAAACTGACAATCCTAGTCAATTAAGATTGGAGTCGAGTGCACCCGCACGAGCGGGTTTCGAACTCACAACCTCAGTGTTGACTGGCTAGTGATTACAGTAGTAACTACTTAGACCACTCGGCCCCGAGGCCCCGCTTAGAATCTGAAAATGTCATCTTAATAGTATTATACAGCCGGTCACTACTTTATATATGTAAGCATATATTAGATAGTTCACAATAATGAAGTTATGTTTTCATTGTAATTATAAGTAAAGAGATTGTATAAAATAACAGGAAGTTTACTTTCTTTTCCGGTTACAAGTTTTGCCCAGTTATTGATATTTCGTAATTTGATTTAAAAAAATATCTAGTGGGTATCGACTAAGTTTCCCATATATCATGAAGTCAGGCGTTGACATTTTAAAATGAAAAAGAAGTTTTACAAATTTTAGATAAACGCTCTATTAAAGAGAAGTTACCTATCCCGAAACATATCTAAATAAAACATTTATAATTTACACTGGTCAGTTAATGTCATGTAAAAGACGGCAAACTGGACTGAGAGTCCCTACATAATGTCAGTACAATAAAACATAAACTTGTTATATGTTGCATATTTTGGACACTAAAACTAGTATCTGTTACTAGTATCTGTATCTTTGTTATCAAATCTAAAACTCATAATTGATAATTTAGTTTTAATCCCGTGACAAAATTATATGAAAGAGGCTCTTAAAAGGGGGACATCGAGGCTGTTTTGTGATTTTATATATACGTTCTCCGTTTCGATTAGAAAGGGATAATGGAAGAACTTTTTTTTTTAGAAAATCACAACATCTATATAAAATACAGTTATGTACAATGAACACAATTTCAATACAATTAATTCACCCAAATCATCAAATTTGATAAGAAAATAATAAATAGATTTATCTCACGAAAGTCATTTTGTTTAGCGAGAGTGTTTCCTGAGACAGCTCGTTATACACAAAAATGAAGTCGTTATCGCTTCTTCTTTGTCTGACTCTGAGTTACATGGCACATGCCAAAGTGTCGTACGATGGGTATGTATGATTTATTATTTCAAAAACTATCTAAGGCGGATTTTTTTAAATGAAGACTGATTTAATGTAAGAAAAACACAATATGTTAAAAAAAAAAAAGTTAACATGTATCATTCGTTTTAAGATTTCTGAGTTAGTTGCCTTCACGAATGAGTCGGTTTAGAGTAATTCTGGAATTTGGAGAAAATGATTACAATCAAATGCATCGATATCGATATAAAATATCGATGTCTAACAGAATAGTCACTTTACAAACCTTTTTCGTCGCCGATATTTCATCTTTCAATTTTTAGAACATTGCAAAAGATAAAAACAAAAATGAAAAAAATACAATAGCTCATTTAAGGCTCCCCTTTTTTTAAATCAATATGTAGCTTTGTGCAAAATGATGTCAACCTATCAAAGTCTTGATAAATAAAGTAGATCGTAAGGTTTAAATTACATACCCAAGACATTTCCTAGTCATGAGTTTTGAAAAATTAAACTTCTTTTCACTTTAAAGATATGTTAAAGTATTAGTTCCATCAAACACATTTCCCTCTGTTCCATGGAACCTAAGTTTATGGACACATGCAATAAACTCTATAATGCTCTTTAGTAGTGTCTAGTGAAGCTCATTTATGTCATGGAAAACCCGTCAATTTAATTTTTTAGAATTTAAAAAAAACCAACTGTGATGCTACTTGAAGAAACCTTTGATTTTGGTAAACCAAAGTTCATTGAGTATTTGTATAATATTGTAATGAAATAAAGTAGTAACTTAATTTTTTTTCACAACACAATTTCTATGATGATTTACTGTAGATTTAAAATGTACGAAGTTATTCCACGGACCGGATTACAACTACAGATTTTAAAAAGTATGTACACCGAATCAAAGATTGATCGTGTTGATTTTTGGGTGCCACCAAGGGGAATTAACATTCCTGTTCAGATTTCGGTCTCGCCAAAAACTAAAATAATTGCAACTCTTCGGCTCATGGGACTGGACACTAGACTGGTTATGGACAATGTACAGCACTTTATTGACCAACAAAATAAGGTTGACCTTAAGTTCAAACCAAGAGACAAAGCCGAGGAATTCGATTATGGAATTTACCATAATCTATCAGCTGTGAGTATTATTTTGAATCTAAATTGGTAGAATTTATTTTTACTTATGCACCGGATATCAAGAAGGGTTATGGCTTTCCCCCTATGTTTTATATCATTACCAGGTTCAATCCAATATGTGTATCTTCATTTCTGTTCGAACAAAATTATATTATATTTATAGATATATAGTTAAAATATAATTGGCTTTTTTCCAGCAGTTTGTTTATGGTTTTAGAAAAACGGAAAGACTTTTCAAAATTTTCATCGAAAAAAGTTCATTAATATATAAATGAAATCATTGCCATTCAGGGCTGTTCCTCTTATTGTAGCGACATATACTTTGTTCAAAGTTTTTAGTCTTAATCGAGAGTCTCGTCGGAATGTATCATATTCCGGTAGAAACAAAAACCTGCTAGATTTCGTAATATTTGTCATCCGAAATATGTGCTGTCGTCTCGAGCATAATATTTTCAAAATTTCTTTTTAACCCAAATAAATAAAATGATTAAATGGGCAGTTATCCTATTGTATCATTTTCGAAGGATATTTACAGGTGATTAAGTTAGATTCTTTATAAAACAGGAATAAGATATACATATATATCCAATATGTATGACAAACAGATGCTCGGAAGTTGGAGACAATTATTGAACATCTGTTTATTCACATTTCATATATTATGTACCATTAGCAGTTTGCACACAATTCATGCCTGGAACAAATGTTCCTCGGCGACCAAAATGAAAAGCTATATATGTATTGTTTTTCTGATGCAAGTCAATCGTTTAGTTCCAAATTTCCATCGTTCAACTATTTACAAACACGTATTTAAAAATGTGAAATATTTTATCAAAGTTGTCTTCAACAACAACGTTCGAGGCTAAATATCATTTTGATTTTTCAAAATTTGTGAAATTGTTGAAAATATACAGAATATCAGATAGACGTTTCTATAATAAATTCTATTTTCCTGGTATTGGAACTGTAACAACAATTACAGGCGATGTCACCATACACGTACCCCAGATGCCAACATACAGTGAAACCTGTTTTGAGAGACCACTTAAAGAAGAGCAAATAAGTGGTCTCAAAAGACAGTCGGTCTTTTGATACAGGTTCAATCTATATGAAATGCACTACAGAGGGGTCTAAAATGAATGGTCTTATAACACAGGTTTTTGCTTAATACAGGTAGTCTCTAAATCAGGTTTGACTGTATTCTGGTTTATAAAACGACATGATAATTTTACAGATAAACGATTGGATAACAAATATCACAACAGTATATGCAGACAAAGCTAAAGTTATAGAAGTTGGAAAGTCATTTGAAGGACGAACCATCAGACTGATTCAGGTATATATTATTACATTAGTTCCTTGCCAATAACTTAAGGGTCCTTCATATTTTATTTAGTTTGTGAGTGAGTTTGGCGAGTTTACTCACCAAAAAAGCTCCCTCAAAAGAACATTAAATTTTTATACATTGTGACTTGGATGGAGAGTTATCTCATTGGCACTCATACCACATCCTCTTATTTATATTAGAAGTATATAATATTCCGGTGGAGGGCGGCATTATTTAATATCTGCAGGATGATAACTTAAAGCTTGGTTCCTTTGTGTTATTGCTTTGTTTTACTTTGTTTATTTTTAAAATACGACTTTGTCGTTATTTAAGGGTTAAGTGCTTTCCCGTACTTTTTTATCAGTTGTATTTTTTAATGAACCTTTTGTTAGTCCATTGATCGAGATTTAAAGGGGAAGATTCACGTTTACACAAATCTGGGTTAACCCCGCTAGATGTTATTTTTTTGTGCCCGAACCAAGTCAGGAACATTGTCAGTGGTCACATCCTAAAGTTTTTGTTGTTTGTAAAAATTTTGTGCTGTTGGCATGCCTTTGATAGTTTCTGTATTATAAACTTGTTTAGACCCGAGGCGATTTAAAGCTTGGAATTTTGCTATGATACATGTCTACTGTGGTCTATGCATGGATGTCTTTTAATTATTTGTGTCGTTTGGTTACTGTCTAATAAACGTATACCCACTTTCCGTTTAATTCTTACACAATTCCATGACCAGCTATAGTTGGATTACGTATTGACCTTGTATAATCAATTAACTTTCTGTGTCTTTGAATTATTCTTATCACTGAACGTCCGACTTCTATGGGTAGTCCTTCTTTAAACTGCATGTATTTCAAAATCGAATTGTTAGTAAATTTTTTCCATGATCGATTTTTGATAGAAAGTCTTCCACGGGATAAGGTTGATTTTTGCCCCCGATATCATTTGCATTTGAAAATACGAACCTGGTAGTTTTTAAATTCGAACATTCGCTACAAGTTTTCAGTTCAAATCATCAATGTTCTTTTGTAGATCGACACAGGCAAAGTTCCACAGAAAAATGGTTTCTTTATGGAAGGCGGAATTCATGCCCGAGAATGGATATCGCCTGCTACTGTGATGTATATGACTGGCCAGGTAAAGTATTTCACTGTCCGACCGGTATACTGTTTTATCGTTTGAACGAAATGATGTTCCTATGACGAAATTTGGTTGAAGGTATACATATCGGGAAAAGATGCTTTTTTCGACTGATTTTTATCATTCAGACTGATTTAACTTGAAAACGAGTTCATGGACTCCTCTTTTAAAAAATGACATTTGGCTTGATTAAGTATGAAGATTATTTGTGCCAATTTTTATGAAAAAATCACCGGATAAATATATACAGCCAAAAATGCCGTTTTTTGACTAAAACATTAAAATATGATAACAATGAATTATTTCCAAATAATTGTTACACAAACTCAAAACACACTTATATAGTCTAAGAGAAGATATTCCAGATGTTTTTACAAAACTCCGCTTGCGTTTATCTTTTGAAACAAAAAAGTTAAGTATGTCTTTCCATTGGATAGAAATGTCTAAGAAACCGAAATGTCCAGTTAATGTCTAAAATTTCGATCTCATTTATCTCTAAAATTAGCACATGAAGGTATATTCCTTGTTACATATTTTAATTGACTAGGTGAAAAATAGACTGTATGCAAACTTTCGTCAAAAATTCACCATGGGATCAAAACTGTATCGTATGCCCTTAACGTCCAGTATATAACAACACACGTATATTACATGTTATTCGGGATCTTCACAGGGAATATGAGCCAATATCCCCTGTGAACCCCAAATAAAAATTATATTATACTGGAGTGTCCTGACTTTAACATTAAATACCATGCTGATCTTTGTTTTTTATTCACAGGGTATATGGGCTCTTATATACCGTGTCAAAGCAACCAATAAAATTACATGATTTGCCCAGATATTTCCCTTAATTCAGTATAATATTGAGGAATGGGTGATTACGGTGTTAATGAGATGTCTATAGTTTTGTACCAGATAAAACAATTATATATAAACGAAATAATTTGCATAATTTTATAAATTTTATTATTTAAAATTACATTTAACATTGTATCTGTATTAGATATTGGAACTGAAGGACACAACCGTCAATTGATATCTAACAATTATGGATTATATTTTTAAAGTTTCAATTGTGAAAACTGACCTTATAACATTTTATTTAAACAAAAATTGAAATGCTCTTTTAGATGTTAGATCTTTACGGTACAGACGCCAAGATAACAGACATTGTGGATTCCTACACGTGGTACATATTACCAGTGTTTAATGTGGATGGATATGAGTACACTTGGACAACGGTATTTCATTTAAGATGGACTTAAGTCGTATTTTTTTTAGAAATAATATCGTGTTGGACAATTAAACCAGTATGAAAATGGACCAATTTGGCTCGTTTAGTTTTCATAAAATTTTGACAAAATATTATCTTTGACCCTTTGACAAAAATATAAAAATTTCAAAAGACTTGAACCACACACTTTATCGGAAAAATTTTATTGGATATATGCGGCTGTTTGACAAACACTAATTTTGATCATTGAGAAGCTTAATATTTCCTTAACAATAGAACGTGATTTAAACGTTCAGCTGATGTTTACAGAGTTATCTCCCTGTAGTGTACTACCTTAACATCCCTCTAATAAAACAAAATTTCATATTAATTTTTTTCCTAATTATTAAGGAAACTGACAATTTTTGAGGCTAGTTCTTAATTCATTCCTTAAACTATTCCTCATTTTTTTCTTTAGGTATAAGATCATTATTAAACGTAGATTTCTTTTTCTTGTAGAACAGAAATTGGAGGAAGACAAGATCTAAACATGGACTATGTCACGGTGTTGATCCAAACAGAAACTGGGATTTCGAATGGTGTAGTAAGTATTCTACAATATTCTACAAACATATGATAAACAACAGCATTCAGAACCAGTTAGATATATTCTCTGGTTTAATATTGCGAAAAATTGAGATTAAGGTTCAACGTGGAAAAACTGGACATTTTCCAAGGAAGGGGGGGGGGGGGGGGGGATTTCAAGAGGCACTAAATTGTGTAACAGGGGAAGTGTTATAGAGATAGCTAAAGTTTTAAACTATTTTGGAGTTTCACTAAACAACATAAAGTAGAAACTTCAATAAAGCAAAAAAGGAAGCTTCTCGCAAAGGCACACAAGCTATTAACGAAGTCATCAAACTAGGAAGATTACACAATTTGTCTGTTGAAACCCAAAGATAACATAGTCGTGTCTGTTCTTCTGTACGACTGCGAATAATAACGAAATCATCGAGGGAGTTCATTCAAAATGTGTAAGACGCTTGGAAGGTGTCCTCTCGAAATGATAAAAAAGAAAGAACGGCATTCTTCTGATCAAAATTAGGTGAGGGTAAAAGCTCGAAACATTTTTCTATAACATAAAAACCTATTTATCAGATGAATATTGTAAAAAATGAGTGAATCCCATCGCTATGAAGTATTATTAGTATATTTAACACTTGTGGTTTAGCATATATGGAACACATATATAGCATTGACTAACATGGGGTGATTGGTAACCATTGTACAATTGTAAATGAAAGAAGCGAGATCAGTTTTAACAAAATTGGCAAAATGAAATGGAAACTCGCCAACATTCCTTTTCAATGGGCATAACAACCAAAACAGGAATTTGAAAGTTATTTTGATACTTCGAATAACAGAAAAATGAAAGAATTTGGGAAATTTGGGACAACAAAGCACAAGCTATCTATAGAGTAGTGAAGATAACAAAATATCTACCGTCAAACTAGAATTTGCACATTTGCACAAAAAGTGCAATATAGGCGACAAATCTGGACAGGTAACCTATCGCTTGTTGGGCTTACGATCGAAACTCTGCAACTACCAATAACTTTTATCGAAGACAAAGTTAAATCTGCCATGGCCATGTACCGGATAGTAAACCGTAAGCGTGACCCACCGCGAGCTACCGACGATTGGTTTACAGGTTGTGACAAAATATTTATCTCCTTGCATGGAATATCACATGTCTTTGAGTGTTAATTTGTATTTCAGTTTTTCATTAGCAGAATTTTTCTATAATGTTCTGTCTTGAAGTTATTTTGATTGGCGGACTTCAATCATCTTTAGAATTTTCAAATATTTCTCTAGTATTGGAAATTTTTACAACAACAACCAAAACCAAAGTTTTAACGTATTTTATTTTCGTTTTTTTTTTATCTTTACTGTTTGATTTGACAGGGTCCAGAAAGCATCTATTCAGGGAAAAAGACAGCGATAACGTCCCGAATTAAAACTGCTAGGTACACAAACGAGGTTTGATTTTTGAAAAAATATCTACTTCCAGTATTATATTATATAAATAGGGTTAATTGGCAGCCTATTAGATGTTCAACTGTAATCTTAATAATTTCACTTGTATTTTATTTCAAATTAAAGAGGGTGGTGCCAGCAAAGAACCTTGTTCAGATACGTATTGTGGTCCATCTGCGTTCTCAGAAGTGGAGGTTAAGGCTGTTTCAGACTTTATCGATTCACACAAAGGTACCATCAAAGCCTTTATAGATTTCCATAGTTTCTCACAGCTTTGGATGACCCCATGGGGTTATACGAAAGAGCTACCAGAGGATTACACGCAACTGGTAAGGATAATTTTGTTTATAGTAGTAGTATTTGAACATTATTAGTCACACAGTGTGCTAGTGACCTAATGCGATATACATGGGGTCTGTAAATTCCATATGGGGTGAGAGCGGTCTCCACGCACGGTCGTAAATAACCACTGATATTCCTAGAAATGTATAGAAGGTAAGATAATACTTTTTATATGCAGTCTATTATGCGAGAATGTAATATTCATTAAAGGGACAAAACACAAAGTGCCTTAAAATGAATAGTACCCTTTTGATATGAAAATAACCCAAGAATAGCCAGATCAGAATTCAGATCATCTCTTGAATTTGGAGGTCGAGCTGATGACAGATGATACAAGAAGATCTGAGAATTTCAGATGGAATTCACCACTATTTTGTATAAATTAACTGGCATGGGTTTGTATTGACCTCAGTGATAAAAGATATGTCGGTATATGTCCCGGTTAAAAATTGTTTTAGCCATATTTTAAATAAGATGAGACATTGACAATAGAGAGTTTATCATCTATTGTTGTGATAACATTTGTTTCAGAATGCTGGTGCAAAGGCCGCGTGTGATGCCTTAGAGGTAGATTATGGAACCAATTACCAACATGGAAATATTGCAGATATCATTTGTAAGTTTTATAGATATGGAGACAAATAAACTCCATCTATGGATGATATACTATGTGGCATTGCATATATCATTATAAAAGTACTCATATAAGCACATGCGCTATTGAATAAAAGATACACTTATAATTTAAACAAAACAGATTTCTGAGACACATTCATTAGATATTGTAGCTTACTTAGACTAATTGATTTGAAATTCGATCTGTTTGCCTATATTGATTTATTCAAATAGTCAAAATTACTGACGAAAAATTTTATAACACAGTTTTTACCTAGTTACATTATTGTTTCACAATTTTTAATGGAACCCCTCATATTTTTATACTTTTACCAACCTTAATCATCATTATCGTCCAAACATTACGTTGTTGTGTAGGACATTAAGCACCTCAACTATAACTAAATAGTCATCATTGGCACCATTTTGACCGATACGATATGTTGGTGTCTCAACTCACTATCTACATGTTTTCACGGTCTTAGATCTTTAGATACCAGTGTTGTCGTCTGGTCTGTAACTTTACCGATTTTGTCCGAATATTCCCAAAAGCGACATTTTGACTGAATTCGCATGGCGGTTGATGCATGCATATCAGGAGACGCGCGTACCAGGTCTCGATCTTTCATGAGCTCATACAAGTCTCTTAGTTTTTGTATGTTACCTTGATTTGTCTCAACCGAATTGATGTATTAGATTTTGATCACTGGTAAACTTTTATCGCATAATTTACGTATCGTTGACAATAACTCAGCACTTAAAATCAATCATGTTCTTCTAAACTACTAGTTATTGAACTTCGTTTTGAAAGAAGATAAAGTATAATGTTAAAAACAATCCCCTGTTTTGACCTCTGCCTAATCGTATGGCGTTTACTAATATATATCTAACCTTATACGGACTTCATTAACAAATGCGTGCTCCGTACTCCTTCATGATTATGCAATCGACTGCAATCGAATTGGTTGCTAGATACGATATGTTTGTGTTTTGACTCGAGAGAGAAATACTTTCATTGTCTTAGATCATGAGTATGTACATGCTACATATATGTATGATTAAAATATCCAGGTGTGTATTAAAAAAGCATATAGTTTAACTGAAATTATTTCCATAAACTGACTAAACATTATTTTAGATGTGGCCAGTGGTAGCAGCGCTGATTGGACGTATGGAGCAGAAAAGATCAAGTATTCCTACGCAGTTGAGTTGAGAGATACTGGAGAATATGGGTTTCTACTGCCAGCCGACCAGATTCTTCCATCTGGAAAGGAGACACTAGAAGCACTGAAAGCTTTGTGCAGCTATGTGTTCAATAACTAACAACGTTAAACTTAACTGCGTAGCTTGGTGTAATGTTCATTTATTATGGAAAAAGTTGGAATTTGGTTATGTATGAGATTAAACAACATGTAATAAATACAGTTTAAAATTTGTTATATGCTTCATTTAAAAGGCAATGATAAGAACTCGCGAACCTTCCGGGTCACCTGATGACATTGTTAGTCCTATAAGAAAGTCAATCATTTAAAGTAATTAAAGGTTGTTGATTTTTGCATTCATCAAATTGTTCTATTTGTCGCTAGTCTAAACTCATCATCATCAACCATAATACAAAATTCGTATAGTATGAAAGACATTTCGTTTATCAAGTTCATTATTAGTCAGACTTGCTTCCAAATATTATATGAATATTGCTCATAGCGTCTCCACTCCTTCAATATCAAAGATTTGTTTTTGTATAAAATTTGCAGTTCATGAGGAATGTAATTGTTTATTAACATTGACACGGATGTCTTTGAACGACTTAAAATAAAGCAATTTTTGGCTTTCTGGTTCTGGTTGCATTGTCATTTCAAACTTTTTTGAGATGAGCATATCTTGTTCATACAATATCTAGTCTTTAAAACAACAATTTGGGTAATAAAAATAACGTTTCAACTTAATGATTCTTTTTTCAAACAAACTTTTGCATGTTCAAATGGCAATTGGCTTCTTAATATACATCTAGTACATCCTTGGCTTTCAAATATTCGTCTTTGGGCGTCCCTAATGAAGGTAAATCCAGAAAAGTGCTATGGACGCTTGAAATTTATGAAGTCTTGTTTTCATTTTTTACAGCACTTGGTCGATACCGCTGCTGGTGAATTATCAGTCCCCGAGGGTATCATCCCATCAGTAGTCAATATTTTAGTACTGAAATGATATATAACAAATCTCTATTAAATTGTCCGTTTATAAATCTACAAATTATTAAGAAACTAAGGTTTCAACTCCCTCAGGCAAAGTTGGCAGATGAATTTGTCTATTATTTTAGGTCCTTTTTGGTCATATAGCTCTTCAATTGTTTCGGTTGTTATATATCCTTGGCTTTCAAATAAATGTATTGGGATTTGAGCGTTCCTCATGAAGGTAAATCCAGAAAAGGTCTTCGTACGCACAACATTAATGAATCGTATATCAATTTATTTTTTTTGGAATAAATTACGAGTTTTTAAAGATGTATATCGGAAAACGATATTAAAATCTTTGTCAGGAGTCTTGTGGAGTGATGGTAACTTAAAATAGATGGATCATAAATGTATTTATCAAAGTTGTACAAAAATCGAACATGTAAAAATGTTGTTTGTTTATAGTTGACTAGTGTTTGGTTAATTATAGTAAGGTCGGTTCGATTGGGATATTGAGTTCATGCACGAGTGAACTCATGTGGTTTAAAGTCATTCGAGCCATTGCAGTCAAAGTGTACAGTAGCATTTTATTAGTTAATCTTCTTGTACTTTTCGTAATATGGCAAGTTCTGAACGTGAAGAAAATCACCTTTATGATATTATGATACTGACATAACAATGAAGATATGGTAACCAAAATTGCAGACATAACATTGAACAATTTTAAACAGTATTTAAATAGTAAAATTGATAGCCTAAAGATGGAACTTCTGGAAGACGCGACGAATAAATCAGAAACCTTGTTTATAAACAGCTTAAATCAAGACTTTCTTATAAGTTTAAGTTACAGTAAGCATGTTCAGCACGAATTTAATTCTGAAATTGATTATATAGTATCCAGGATCAAACGTGCAGCCGAGCGTGATGAATATTCTAAAGTCGTGGATATTAGCTATAACCTTATGGAGAAAATTCTTAAGCGGAACAAGTGTATTAAGATTGCTGACAAGTCACCAGCAGAATGGGATACAGTTAAGGATTACCTATCAGACGAGCTTGCTTAGGATTCCGAGAATGAGAAGAAAATTAGGTCTGCTGTAACACGGACCTTGACGGACCAAGTAGCACAAGGAACAAGAGCGTTTTTAAGATCAAGGTGATAAGTATTGTTTACATCATGTATTGTTTTTCATCATATTCAATTTAAAATTTATTATAAAAATGAACATTTAGGTTGTATTAATTCAGTACATGTCATTTGATTACGAAAAAGAATCCCTCTTCATGATCTGATTAGGGAAATGAGAAGAACATATATAAGTATTTGAAAGATAATGATACACAGTCATTTTGTTTTAGACATGATTGATTATGGTTCTTATATCCAGTTTATCACAGTTCCGCCAGTTATACTGTTATATTTAACAAGAAATATTTAATAATGCTGAATTTGTTTCAGAAGCTAATTCAGAGAAAGGAATTGGACTATAAAAATTTTTTGTTTTTCGTTTTGTTTATCCTTGTTCAGAGTTCTGACATGCGCAGGTTATATAATGTATAGTTGTCATGAGCTGTAGCTAAACTATAATACTGTTACCAAGAGTTTCATTTTGATTATTGTTGCTTAAGATACTAGTAGATTTCTTTAGGGTTTATTACTTTCTGAGTATCGATTTGTCTTAATCACTGGGCTGATTGATTGTTAAAATTACTGCATGTGTTGGTAAAAATTTTGAAACCACGTGCTCCTGACTGGTTGTCTTGATACTAAGTGACTGGTTGTCATTGAAGCCACTGTGCTGATTTTATTGAAGCCGTTGACTGGTTATTATTGAAGTATATGTACTGATTGTTATTGAAGCCACTTGACTATTGTTATTGAAGTCACTGGACTGGTTGTTATTGAAGCCATTGGACTGGTTGTCATTGATGCCAATGGGCATGTTGTAATTGAAGGCACTGGACTGATAGTTATTTAAGCCTCTGGGATGTTATCATTAAATACACTAGACAGGTTGTTATTGAAGCCACTGGACTGGTTGTTATTGAAGGCACTGGACATGCTGTATTGACGGCACTATACTGATATTATATTAAGCCTATGGGCATTAAATCCACTGGACAGGTTGTTATTGAAGTCACTGGAAAGGTTGTTATTTAAGTCACTGGAATGGTTGTTATTGAAGTCACTGGAAAGGTTGTTATTGAAGCCACTGGACTGGTTGTTATTGAAGGCACTGGACTGATAGTTATATGAAGCCTCTGGGCTGTTTATCATTAAATCCACTGGACATGTTGTTTTTGAAGTCACTGGATGGTTGTTATTGAAGCCGCTGGACTAGTTGTTAATGAAGCCACTGGGCATGTCGTAAATAAAAGCCACTTGGCTGATAGTTATTTAAACCGCTGGGCATGTTGTTATTGAAGCTAATGGGGACGTTGTTGTTGAAGCCACTGGACTGGTTGTTATTGACGCAACTGAGCAGCTTGTTGAAGCCACTGGGCGTGTTGTTATTGAAGACACTGTGCAAGTTGTAATTTAAGCCACTGGGCTGATAGTTAAATAAGCCACTGGGCATGTTGTTATTGACGCCACTGGGCATATTGTTATTGACGCCACTGGGCATGTTGTTATTGACACCACTGGGCAGATTATTATTAATGCTAATGGGCAGGATGCTGTTGAAACCAATGGGCATGTCGTAATTTAAGCCATGGGCTGGTAGTTATTAAGCCACTGGGCATGATGTTACAGACGCCACTGGGTGTGTTGTTGTTTTTGACGCCACTGGGCGTGTTTGTTTGTAAGCCACTGGGCAGGTTGTTATTGACGCCACTGGGCAGGTTGTTATAGACGCCACTGGGCACGTTGTTATTGATGCCACTGGGCAGGTTGTTATAGACGCCATTAGGCGTGTTGTAATTGAAGCCACTGGGTGTGTTGTTATTGAAGCCACTGGGTGTGTTGTTATTAAAGCCACTGGGCAGGTTGTTTGTAGGGCACTGGGCATGTTGTTATTGACGCCACTGGGCAGGTTGTTATAGACGCCACTGTGCGTGTTGTTATTGAAGCCACTGGGCAGGTTGTTTGTAAAGCCACTGGGCAGGTTGTTATTGACGCAACTGGGCGTGTTGTTTATTGAAGCCACTGGGCAGGTTGTTGTAGACGCCACTGGGCGTGTTGTTATTGAAGCCATTAGGCAGGTTGTTTTTTATACCACTGGGCATGTTGTTATTGACGCCACGAGGCAGGTTGTTATAGACGCAACTGGGCGTGTTGTTATTGAAGCCATTGGGCAGGTTGCTTGTAAAGCATTGGGCAGTTTATTGTTGAAGACACTTGGCTGGTTGTTATTGACGCCAATGGACAGACAGGTTGTTGAAGCTATTGGGTGTGTTATTGAAGACACTGGACCAGTTGTAGTTAAAGCCACTGGGCTGATAGTTAATTAAGCCACTGGGCATGTTATTATTGACGCAATTGGGCAGAGTTTTTTATTAATGCCCTAGGGCAGGATGTTATTGAAGCCACTAGACATGCGTAATTAAAGTTATAGGCTGATAGTTATTTAAGCCAATGGGCATGTTATTAATGCCACTGAACAGGTTGGTATTGAAGCCACATGGCAGGTTGTTTTTAAAGCCATTGGGCAGGTTGTAAGGGAAGACACTGAGCAGGTTGTTATTGACACCAGTGAAAATTATGTTGTGAAAAACACTTGACTGGTTGTTGTTGAAGCCACTTGGCATGTCGTAATTAATTAAGCCACTGGGCTGATAGTTACAGTTATTGACGCCACTGGGCATGTTGTTATTGACGCCACTGGGCATGTTGTTATTGGCGCAACTGGGCATGTTGTTTTTTGAAGATACTGGGCTTGTAGTTATTGAAGACTCTGGGCTGGTTGTTGTTGAAGACACTGAGCTGGGTGTTGAGGACACTGGGCTAGTAGATGTTGAAGACACTTGCAGTGACTTGACTGTTTGTTAATGAAGCCACTGAGCAGGTTGTTATTGCAGACACTTGGCTGGTTGTTGTTAAAGACACTGGGCATGTTATTGTTGGAAACTATGGGCAGGTTGTTGTTGAAGACACTCGTTTGGTTGTTGTTGAAGCCTCTAGGCATGTTGTTATTGAAGACACTGTGCTGGTTGTTGTTGAAGACATTGGGCAGGTTGTTATTTAAGACACTGGACTTGTTGTTATTGAATACACTGAGCTGGTTGTTGTTGAAAATTCTGGGCTGGTTGTTCTTGAAGACACTGGGCCTGTTTTTGTATAAGCCACTGGGTAGGTTTGTTATTAAAGACACTTGCATGTTGTTATTAATGGTACTTGGCTGGTTGTTGTTGAAGACACTGGGTAGGTTGTTATTGAAGACATTGTGCTGGTTGCTCTTGAAAACACTGGACAGGCTTGTTATTACAGAAAACGGGCAGGTGGTTGTTGATGAAGCCACTGGGCTGTTTATTATTAAAGTAACTTAGCATATTACCGGTATTATTAAAGTCACTAGGGCGAATATTTAGACAATACTGATTGTTATTGAGGCTATTAGGCTGAACTTCAGACATGCATATTGGTATATTATTTAACAAAATAAACTTCTTTAAATAGCTATATTAAAG